TGTTTGTTTGTATTAACAGTGATAAATAATAAAAATAGAAAATTTTTTATTGCTATTTATAGAGATAGCAAAATTTTATATTAATTAAATTTATGATATCTTAAACCTGAACTAAAGTAAAAATTTTTGTACTTGTTTGCTAAATTGCAGGTGTATTCCAATGTTGATTTTATTAGCAAATTTAAATTAATGTAACAAGTTCCGCACAACATAAGAAGCCACATTTATGTTTTAATAGAATATTCCAGTATTTTTTTTTCCTTTTCTTTTTTTGTAAATGAACAATTTTTTTATATGGCAAACTAAACATGCGATTAACGTTTCGAAAACGTGATAGGGATAAAAAAGCATCCAAAAAATATTTAGTGCCTGTCCAATTGTTCTTTAAATAAGTTAGAAATTAATGTTAGAACACTGCCGATATTTCAGTCATTTTTAATTACTGTCGAAACTGTCGATTCCATGAGTACTTGGAACATTTCAACAAAGGTCATTACAAAGATGAATTTTTATACCCTATACGCAAGGTTTGAAAACTGATTACTGAAAAGTTATCAATTGGTAAGTAAGTCGAATTTTTGAAAATTTTTTACTAAGGTAAAAAATATTGCAAAGAAATATTTTGAAACATAAATAAGGCTTCAATGCGAGGAGGATAAAAATTATGCTTCCAAATTAATAGTAAATAAATAAATCAAATATAATATGAGGTTTCACGGTTTTTGATGCATAAAAAACGACTAAACGTAAATAAATAAATTAAGTAAGTACTACATTATTAAGTACGTATGATATAAATAAAAATGAAAGCATGAATGTATTAATAATCGAAATGGTACACAAAAATCTAAATAAATGAATCAACAACAAATCTAATGAACTTAAATACAATGATAACGTAAGTAACTGTATACAGCAATGAAGTGATTAGGTGACATCTATTCAAATAATTTACCTCCAGGAAAACTGTTGCACATATACTTTTAAGCTCAAACTTTATTGATTGAAGTATATTTCGAGTTTACCACGAAATGTATTTAAATAGATGAGCTGGTGATAAAAAATTTGGCACTGGCATTAACTGACAGAAAGTCTTGACAATATTATGCATTTTCTTAAAGTGAACAAATAAGATAGAAAAAAAAACTTATTTTTAATAGTTGTAGTGCTATTCATGAAGCAATAAAAAATCGGGAAACAAATTTCTAATTGATTGGCTATTATCTGCCTAGGCAGCTTGCAGTACACATTTCTGATGTAATTCACAATCCTGTTAAAAACGACTTGATGCTGAATCTGGTAAATAATTTACCTCAAACTGTTCTTTAATATTTTTTTCAAATAGGTACTTTATGAGTTCTTGAAATTCTTGCTAGATGGCAGCACAATATACACAGAAACGTCTTAATGTTCAGATGGAAATCGTGGTGTCTTTCATCTCGGAAACTGTTCTAGACATTTTAAAAATATGACTTATCATAAAACTGCCTTACTTCCAATTTCTTTTTCTATGAATTGAAGTTTAAGAAGGCTTAAAAGCATAACCGCCTTACTCCTATCACATTCTCTACTCGCTTTACCTAAATAATTATTAATTATCTGTAGATAAATGCAAGAAATGTCAAAATTTCAACATATATATTCTTTTATTTTACCCGTCGTTGAACAGCCGACCCAATTTTTGGTTTACGACTTCTAATGTTCAACTCCGTATCCATGTGATTTTGAACCATTCCAGGAGACAAGGAACTCCTGGATCAGTACCCCCAGAGGTATTGATTTGTTATGGGAACATGGAGGACATTGCGACTCGAAAGATTTAACGTGCATCTGTCACCATTTACTACACAGGGTGTCTTCGGCCGATGGGGATCGAACCCACGAAATTTCAACATATATGAAAATAAAACTTTATAATTAGTGTTAGCATGATAACTAGTTCCTGTTTTTGATTTGACATTGGTTTGATTTAAAGTTATTTTTCGCCAAACATTTTAAAAGTTAGCTATTGTAACTTAATCTTTCAATGGTAGTTAAAATAATAAATTTACCAGAAAAAGCATCATGTCAATGGCATAAGTGACAGACTTTTATCTATTTTAATTTGACATTATATCCATCGGGTGCATTGCTAGAACTTTCATTTCATAAAAGCTCACCATTCAAAACATTTGCAACATACATAAACAGTTTGAATCAACAATAGGAAAATCGATAGTAAATCGATATCATATAGGAAATTGATGCTTTTTTTTGTACAAGTGGCATTTAGCATCAGCGAAACTACTAATCTATCCTTTTTTTTTTGGTCCTACCATAAAATTTGTCAATTTTTTAAAAACTACAGTGAGTTTTAACTCATGAATAAATACCGTTTAAATATCTTGAAATATTTTTATCGTTTAAGAATAAGCCTCTTCAGTTCATTTAGTTTTCTATAGAATGGTAAGAATAACTTCGAATAAATTATGGATATATTTTATAATACATAATTTTTCATAATTACACACACAGCACAGAAATATATCCCATATATGAGTCAGAAATATATCCTAAAACCTAATATAATATTTGGTAGTTTCAAAAATGTTTCTGTGATGCAATCGTAAAACAATACGAAACTTAACAATAATATATTTTTTATATTATATTATATGCTCATATATCACACAATATTATACGCTGATGTATTAGTTTTTTATTTTATTTTTCTTTTGCTAATAAATGTCAACGCAATAATAAGAAAATTAAAACTTCATAATTAATTAAGCTTTTAAAATGTTCAACGTACCAAAAAGGTAACATAATTTCTGTTCGTCCTAAAGAAGTGTTTAAGCAGCATGTTCATAGAACTATATTATCTCGGTAGCATATTTCTGGAAAGTTTTTGAGAATTTTTTTATTTCAATTGCAAGTATATTTTAAAATTGTTATTTTTATGACTAAGATTATTCTTTTAAGGATTGTTTTGACAGCTTTTTGTTTTTGTCAATAGATAGCGCCACATTTTTTTTAAAGATTTCTTTAACAACTTATTATAATTTCGGCGAATTATTAGCTCAGAGCAGTTTGGAGAAAAATGTTGTAAGGATTAAATTATAAAAATCACTTTTTAACTGGGCAAGTATGCAAAATAGTTCATCTCAGTTTTTTTTTTAAATTTTTTTATTTTTATTTTTTGAGGAATTACTTTTCTATTGACTAATAACCAAACGTCATAAGCATTTACAACCTTTTTCTAGCATTTAAAAAATCATAATGGTTGAATAAAAATATATTACTTTCACAATTAGTAATAAATAAATAACTTTCTGAGACAAAAGTTAAACTAAAATTAGAAAGGGAGGAAATATTTCTGAGGCAAAACAGGATCGTTTTGTGCTGCTTTGAATAATGATTCTTTATATGATTAGTGATAAAAATGTGTTTTTTAGTAAGAAAATATATTTCCTACTTATTTTTTTTTTATATATGATAGAGCTCTCTAGTTTAAGAAGCGATTTGTATATATATTGAGCCAAGCATGAAGCAAATTTTCACACTCGTGATGAGAATGCAGAATTGAACTTAAAAAATGTCATCTTTGGCAGTTAGAGCTCGATTATGTAATTAGCTCCCTTATCTTTAGGCTTGAACCACAAGTTGGCGCTGAAACAATCAACACTTAATCTTGACACTTCTAACTGAAAGAACCCAACAGAAAATAAAAGTACAGCCAAGATCTAGTGAAGATTGTTCACAGTTTAGGCATCGCATTTTACTCTTATTATCAAAGTCGCTAAACTTGAAATATCCTTAACTTGTTCTATAAAACAACATAATTGAATGCATCTAGTTGAAACAAAAATGAATTTTTAACACTCGCATGATTTTGTTTTCAAAATATCAAAAGAAGCAGCTCTTTTATATTGTAAACAAAAGCGATACATTAAATGGATATTAAACTGATAATAGGCTGTTTAATAAATGCACCGTTTATTGATTGTTGTTTACAAAAATCTTTTGTTATCTTCTCTTCTAGTTTCTAATTTATTTTTCTTAAAAATTGAAATGAATCAAAAAGAGAGTTTTTGAGATAAAAAATTTTTCAATAAACTCCCACATTAAATGCAATCTAATTTTTTAAAAAAATTTGAAAATATAAGTGGAGAGTTTGCCTATACATTAAGAGTAGCTATCTTAATTTAGTATGTTCTAATTTAGTATGTCTTAATTTGGATGTTCGTTCTTTCTACAAATTTTGTTTTATATATAATTTATACCTCATTAAATATAATTTAATAAACGACCTAAACTATTTTAAGTAAAAAGAAAATTTAGTTTTAACTAATTTAGTTATCATCGTTTATTATCGAATAAAATTTCAAGTTAAAAACTAAAGATATTTAGTGGTAAAAAGTAATTTATCTGAAATAAAAACTAAATTATTTGAAAATAATGACTGAAATGACTTAGAGTAAAAAGCTAAATTATTTGAAGATAAGATATTTTTTTAAAACAATAGGAATTAAATGACTCGAAATTAATAAATATGTTATTAGTTTCGAGTTAAGAAACAGTTAAGAACAATTGAAAAAGTTTAGAACAATGTTTTTTAAAGTTAATAACTTTCAATCATTATTCATTCAACCATTGATGTCTTTATTTTTATTAATTGAAAACAGTTTTGTAATTTTTTCTTAGATACTAATTTGGTCCTAAAAAGCTTAATTTTTCGCAATTAAGAACTTTTTGTTATTTAACTTTTTTCGCAATTTCTGACTAAATACAGTTTGAAAACAAGAAAAATGTAATGTCAGAATTTCGCTTTTAAATCATTATTTCCACACAGATCTTTAACAAGTATAGTTTAAATTTCAAAAGCTAAAATATCTGAAAAACCATTCTTAACTTTTTTTGTAATTCTTAATCAAAACTTTGTCATTCTTTTTAACTTTATTATAATCTAACAGTCAACGTTTTTATTTATTTTTTTTATTTATTTATTTTTTTATTAATTCTTTATCAAATCTAACTTTGCATTCTTTCATTTAAACCATTTTTTTCCGCAATTGTTTACCAGATATAACTTAAACCTTTTTAATTTAAATTTCTTTCTTTGTTATTGGTAATTCACTATCAAACATAACTCATAGTTATTAAGTATAATAAAGCTTTCCTGAGAATGAAGCACCTATTTTTTTCGTGCCAAAACAATCGTTTTAACACGCACTTTACTTAATTTTAGTGCATTTACAAACAGCAACCGGACATTTCATGTTTGACGACTTCATACTATATTACATTGAACATCTTGCTCAGTAAAAATGCATTCAGGTATTTTTTTTCTTGGTAGAAAGCGTTCTAAAAAGTGTAAAACGACATCCAAAATTTGTGTAAAGTTCTGAGAATTTCTTAATATTTTTTTTCTCCACGATGCTTGGATGAAATACCCGTCTTCGTGCATTCTCTACATTTCTATAAATATATGATGCTAACAGTATGGGAGTTTACAGAAGGGAAGGTTATGCTGTGGCAGTTGTAATATTTGCTGTTGCGCCACTGGTGTCACACGCCCCCTTTTGTTTGCGTCGTAGTAAAACACCATTGTTTGCGTTAATTCTATTCCAGATATTTGTTCTGTTTGAATTATTCTTGGGCGATTGGTCAACAGTGGAACACATAAGAGTACGGGGCATTGTTCCTGTTGCTGAGTTGTAATTGCCTCTATCGGTCTTCGGAATGATGATGAGTTGTCAAAAAAAAGTTAGTTTTTCGCTCACAATGGTGCAAAAGCGAAAAGTAACGCTGCAGCCAGCATTGCCCCAGTCAAGAACAGCACTAAAAGTAGTCTATCTGTTACCTGTAAATATAAGGATCAAAAGAGCAAGATTTAAAATACAAAATCGCTAATAATAATAGGGTTACGTTCGTTTGTACCATAATATACTTAGGTAATGTAAATTGTGCTCAATATTAGTCTCGTAATATATTTTTAAAAAAATTGCCAATAATATCAGGAAAATTACCAAAGGAGAATTGGTAGCATTAGTTTTTTTTTAATTATTGTTAGCATTGTTTTGTTGTTGTTTCTAATGACATTTGGACAAGCTAACTCTCCAACCATTGACTTTTTGAGATTTAAGAAAAGAAGTTGCGCCTTTCTTTTAACAAGAGAGCACCGCAAGTGTGACAATACGTCTTGGATCAGAATCTCACAGATAGATGGCAGCACCATTCATTCGTGAGTCCACTTTCTCAATTTAGACATATCTTTGAAGGAGAAGAAAATACTATTGTTTTTATCATGGCTACAGTTCGTCTTCTTCACATTTGCAGTTCATATTCTATGTAAAACCAACTTCGGAATACTCTTTCAAAAAAATAAGAAACACATATTACTTAAAATTATATTATGATCGTTATATATTTCGATTTGGATAGAAAATTTCAAATTATTGGAATAGACACTTTATAAATGCATATTAATATTAATGCGTAAATTTATGTAATATAACTAAAAAAAGAATTTTAAAAAATAAAATATAAAAAACAATACAAAGTTTTTTATTATTATTATTTAAACTTATTATTTTTAAAATATTTTTAATATTTTAAAATTGTTTAGGATTAATAATTTAAGTAGGTTTGAAAAACACGTTTGTAATTAATTATTCTATGTAACATTGTTTACGGTGACGAAGTAACATATTTTAACTTAAAAGACAGTAACATCAATTGCAATCGGGATGGCTGATGGCACTTTGTATTTTATCTATCATTAACGTAAAATTGGTGTAGTTTAGCTTAAAATATCAGTTAGTAGAACAGGTTCAATTTATTCATTGTTTTAAGAGAAAATTGAGCATAAACGTCGGACATTTAAGAATTTTAAAAAATGACTACAAATACCACCTATTTTTCCTCAAAGATAAAATAGAATGGATGAATACGCCTCGAAACTAATTTACAAACTGTACTTTAATAGGACATTTTATAGTTGGTAAACTCTCCCGAAAACTTACTCCAATAGAAAATGTTTCATTCTTTTTTGAAAAGAGATGAGTTTTTGTCCTTACCTGCGCTACTCTTCTCCACTCATCCTTAGCCGCTTCTTTATTCTCATTCTCCATATCTCTGGCTTCGTTTCTTTCTAGTGTCTCATGCACCCTGTCCAGCACCCTCAGAAACCTCCTCTCAAACTCCTCGGAGGATCTTTCTCCTCCTCCACCACCCCCTCCCCCGCTGCCGGCCGCGCTCCTTCTCCTAAGGAGCTGAGGGGAGGAGCTGTACCGTTCTATAGGGGGACCACTGCTTCCTCCGCTCCCTGAAACGGGTCTCTTCTTCCCCTTTTTCCGATCCTCCTCGTCAGCTTCCTTCGAACGAAATACAGAACTAATTAGCAATACCTATTAGTGGAGTTCAGTAAGCTTATAAATTAAAAGAAAATCCTGAAGCTAGTATGTGATAGGGAAATTTTTTCCCTAATAATATCTAGTAAAAATGCAAGGGAAAATCCCTATTGGTGATACATATGATAAATGTATTAATTCTTCATTTGTAACATCTGGATAAATATTTACAAGTAAAATCTAGTAAGCGAGCAAGTTAAAACAAATTTAAAATGTAGTAAGTGGAAAAAAATAAGAAAAAGTAAACGTTGAATAACAGTAAGGAGTAAATTAACACGGTAGTTAAAAGATGTAGTAAATGTATAGCATAGTTAAACACTCATGTATAGCACTGAATTTGTTCGTAGTGCCACGAGGGCTACCGGTGACTGGCGAAGCCAAGATTATTAAAAACGCAAAATTCGAGTAAATTTTTAATGCTTCTAATTTTTTACTTTATTATTAGGTGGTTAATGGCGGCTAAAATGGTTTGAAGAAATTAATGCAATACATACTGAGAAAATCATTTTGGCCAGACTGGCAAGCCATGTAAAATTAGCGTGGCATTCAACGTGTTAATAAAGAACATTATAAAAAGAATATTAGTTAAAACTTGTTTTCTTCAAAAGAGAACTCTACTAAATACTTAAAAGAAGAAATACATTTTTTTTTCATTAAAAAAAATCAATTAAAAATAATAAAAAAATAAAGATTTAGTTAGTAAAATATAGTTAATATGAGGTAAAATTAATAAAAGTTATTAAGTTTTAATATAACTATCAATGAATGATTAGGTTAAATAACTTTATACTGGTTCCTTTGAAAACTCTGTTACCAGATTCAAAAGTAGTTACATTTGAACGAAGTTTTATCAATTACACTGTGAATTAGTCGCAATATATTTAAACAATATATAATACAATATATGATACTTAAAATTCAATTTCTCAGAAACTATTCTACCATTTTTTCTCAAATTTTGTATTTTACCATATAAAACTATATTCTTTAAAAATGATTAAAAAAATTTTATACCTTACAATTCAAAACTTTTCCCACCATTATTAATTAAAATAATAAAAAACAATAAACATTTACCAACTGTTCTTGTTTGCTTGGAATTATCTTTGAATAAGAGAATTTCATAATTGTGTGCAAAAATTTTTCAATTCGTTTAAAAAGCACTCAAAATATAGCGAAATACGCCAAAAGTAAAATTAATACTAAGTTGTCCAAACTTTGGAGCGTTCTTCTGACCAAACTATCGGGACCATATTTCCCAGATTGCGGCTAACCCCTATATTTTGGGTGTCAGAAATCCGGATTCGTTGAAAAAAGGTATGTTTATTCAGAGATATCACGTTTTTGTGTCTATAACTTAAAATGTCGCCTTGTCTTATGCATTAGCATATTTCAGGTTACCCTCTCAGACCATGAAAATAAAGTCCTAGAACGTGAAGATCCGATCATTAGATCAAAAGTTATTAAGGGTAGTTCATTTTTTAGCACTGTTTAAATCAGCTTTTAATTATGATTTGTTAGCTGGTTTTATTGATATCTAAACTTGACTTCATTGATATTCTTTTGCAAGCTTTACAAAGTTTTCCTCAATTCTTGTATGTTTTTTTTCTTTTTTTACACACATAATTCTTTCTTTCAACAGATATGAGAACAGTAAGAACGTATTCATCGTAGTTTATGTCACGATGGTCAAACTGAACTACATTATTAACAACGAAAAGATAGATGAAACAATGGAGTGATTGTTTCGAATTTTTTGGGGGCAATTCCAATGCGACCTAGTTCACCTACTATTAAATCGTTTTTTTAGTAGTAAAATTAAAATTCAAGAAAAATAACTAAAAATTTATTATTTTAAAAATGATCAATTCTAAATACTCTGTAAAAAGTTCGAATTAAGTTACGGTACTGGTACTATGGGTGCATCATCCGTAAAATTCCTTTTTACCGTAAAATATGTACAAATTTATATTTTGTTTCAGTTAATTATAAACCGATCATATACCAGTGGGTTATTTTTAGCACATAATTTTACCGTTAAATATTGGTTTGACAAAAAAGGCTTCAATATTTTTGCAATCTTTTCTTCATTTTCAATTAAAAACTACAGTTTTAACACAGTATTTCAAAGCTCAAAAAAACCATAGGTTGAAAATACACTGAAAAAAAAATTATCCGGATCTAATTACGGTAAAAAGTACTGGCACTCTGACTGCCGGTACTTTTTACACAACTTGATCCTGAACCTTCTACATTGTAGCTCTGCAATACAAAGAGCTATTTTTTTCATTTTGTATGCCTTGTGTACTGTTGAAGTTTTGTAGAAATTCAAAAAAGAAAAAAATATGCTAAACTTTAATGTATGATTTTTAAAAAATTGAATCGACTTTGCTTGTTCGAAAAAAAAATTAGTATTTGGAATACAGAAATCCAGATAAACAATTTTCTACTGTTATTTAAAAAGAGTAGTAATATAATGATTCAGATCTACAATACATAATCAATTGTAAAGTGAGATAAATCAATTGTAAAGGGAGATAATGCGGAAAAACGAAAAGAGACGGGGTCGAATAGAGATGTGAACATAAATATTTAAAAAATAACTGTTCTCTGAAAGGTGTTTTAGTATTTTTTATCTTATCAAATCTTTTACACAAATCATTATTGATATTTTAAACTTTCGCTTGACTAAGTACTGCAATTTAAAAAAATAATAAATGCGTAATCATTTCTTTAAAATTTATACTAGATTAAAGACAGACAAATAAATTAAGGCAAAATAAATTAGGGCAAACTTAGTAGTACAGGGTATGGTATATGAAAGTTAGAGTTTGAAGTTGAAGTTGTTTTAAAATAATAATAAAAAACATAATGAGATAAGCAATAAAATGAGATTCAATTCAGATGAAAAACATTTTGAAAAACCAATTGCATTTCAATGTATTTTTGAACTTTTTAAAAATCTAAAGTATTCAAAAAATAAAAACACTTAAATTAAACATAAAATATTTAATTATATTTTTAAAAAATGATAAATCATAACAAGGTAAAAAAATATTTTAGTCTATAGTTAGATTGCAATTTGTTATTGACAAATAATCTTATAGAGTAAACTAAATTAAAATTTTATATTAAGGTATACTACTCTATTTCTATTTTATCTATACTAAAAATGCTTTAGTTTATCATAAAAACATTAAGTCTACTTTTATTCTAATGTTATCTGTTAAATTACGTATTTTATAAAAGAAGTTAAATCTTAATAAAAAATAAATACAGTTTTCCCTTAATTAACTAACTATCTAGAAATTTTTAGTGGTTAAATAATAAAAAAACTATTGTCAGTTTCAAGTATATTCGACCTTTACAACTATATTATTTGCAGATGAACATTTAATATACTGTTTTGACTGCTCTTCTAGAACTATTTATAATTTAGGAATCCTTAGTATGTTTTATTTCATGAAAGATAATATTTAAAAGCCAAAAATAATGTAATTTAATTAATAACATTATCAATCCTTATCAAAATTTTTAAAAATAGTGTTTTCTCAAATTTAAGTATTTGGTTTTGAATAAAAAATAAAGTCTAATCAAATTTATTAGTTACTTTATAATGCATTTGTAAAAAATAAATTATGCAAAAATTATGCATCAATAAAAATTTAGCAAATTAAGTGAAATGTAACAATATAAAAATAACGTAAGTAAACAAATTTCTTAAGGCATTTGTTTTCCAATTTCAAGTATATTAAAACTCATTATTCGTATTTTGTTGATAAAAGAATTGAACACGAATATTTGCACCACAAAAATTAACTTCAAAAAGTTTCATGTATCATATTTTCCAAAAGCAAAAGTTTAAGAAGGAAAAGGGGTATATAATGATGTTCCTAAGCGGCTTACTAAGTTCTAATGCATTCTATTGTTTATATTATTTGTAATTTTCATTGCATTGATACTGTCATTTATGATTTTTATATAAAATACAACAAAATAAGTGATTTTTCAATAAGAACTTAATTTATCATAATATTTTTTAAATTGAGAAAACATCAGGAGTAATTTTTAGAATTGCCTTAACAATAATATATTATAAATCTACATTATCAATTACTTTTTCAATAAAGGAGTCACTAATACATAAGTACAAATCTAAAGAGTAATTAACAAAAGAAATGCAGATTTGTTTTGCTTTTGAAGAAGCAACATTTAAAAGGATTAAATTAAAAATTTCAATAGTTGTTAAACAATATCAGTAGTCATGGACTGTTAATTAAAATATTGTTGTCTTTAAAATCAACGTCTATGATATCAATGGTTTAAAATGTAACTAGATTTTAAACAATCTTAAACTAACAAAACATGTTTTAATGAAACATTTTTTAACACAACGTTTTTTAATGAAAGCAGAAATCATATATATTTTAAGAATTAATTCAATTTTTTTCAAGTGCAAATATTTTAGAAATTTATCACCTAAATATTTTAGAAATTTATCACCAATATATCACCTATAATGGGAAATCGGTAGTTTTCCTTCTAACGGAAATATGACTATTTTTAAAAAAGAATATGTATTTTAATGATAATTAGTTAAAACATCGAAAATAAACGAATATAAATTTAAAATATATACTTCCAAAACACTTAGAAAAGTTGCTTAGTTCTAATGCCGAATAAACTTGCAAAACAACAATTACAAAATCAATTTGCTGGCAACTATATATGCTTGTGTCACAAATAATTGTTTTAAAATACAAAATTGTACAGCGTCATAAAATTAATTAAATCAATAAAAAATAGGAAACATTTATAATGCATACTTATTGAATTAATACAAATAACTAATACTTAACTTAGAAATTTTTCAAATTTTGGTTTTGAAAATATTATTTTTTTTAGAATAAACTCAAAATATTTAAATGTAATTTCATTAAGATTTCAGTTAATATATGTAAAACTATCACTTTTATAACTATCACTTAGAAAATGAAAAATATTTTCATATTAATGATATAAAATATCATTTGTTAGAGTGAATCTAATCAGATAGGTAAACTCATATAGGTGGGATAGGTGTAAACTCATATCTACTTATTTTTCAGCAAATATATATAGCATTTCACAGAAATATTATTATGAATTAAAATAGTATATTATAACCATGATCTTTAATTATATTATTTACTAGCTTAATAAACTTAATGTATAAGAACATAAGATTAATATATTAGATTAAAATGTTATATATTTGCTTTTCAACCTCCTAATATTACACTTTTCATGTAATACGTTTATCTTCGTATTAACTGTCAGAGAATAAAATTGTATAACCTAATATTATAACTTAAAATATAATTTGTTAAAGTCAATAATACAATATATGTAACAAAATGATTAAATTTGTTTAAGTTCGTTGCTCAATCTCCTAAATCACGTTTTTATGAGTAGAGTTTAGCAAGATATTTAATTAATTAATTATTAGTTTCTAAACGTAAATAAAATTTGCTTTACAAAATACATAGACTTACTATTTGATTAAAGCCTATTCTTTGTGCAAATTATACTTAGAGTGAACCTTCTANGGTAACTTATCAGAAGAAATTATTTTTTATGCCTAAAGATATGATAACATTTTTCTTATAGTATGATAATTTCAAAATATTGCTTAATACAATCTTTATACTTTTAAATAATAATTGAAAAAAAAATTACAGTTAATTTTTTTACTAAAAATAGCACGTTATTAAATTTAAAAGAATCTCAAATATTGTTAAACATTGTTTCAGAAATTACTTAAATAGCTTGGATTAAAATGATTACACAAATGATTGATTTTATATATTAGAAATTATAAAGTCCTCTATAAACGTTACTTTAAAGCATGGGGGAAAAATGAAAAAATTTATTACTGGCCTGAGGCCAGCAGTCACATTTTCGAAAACATGTAACCAATTTCTCAAAATTAGAAAATGCTAAATTATTAAAAAACTATATTGACATTATTAATGTAAATCATTTCTTTTTAAGCATTTTTCAAATTATGATAAACACTATAGCCCCACAAAATAAAGAAAAATTTTCCTGACCTCTCCAAGAAGATCTATGCAAAATTTAAGTATTCTATTTAACAGTTTCAACTTCTATAAAATTTAGGATTTGAGTTTTTGAACCAATAATGCGACATAAAATTTTATTTAATTACAAAAATATGAATCTTATTTCTTACAAAATAAATCTAAAATAATTACAATCATACTGATGAAATTCTATTAATTTGATTCTTTTTAAGTATTATCGATGATAAATAAAAAAAGCATCATGTAATTAACTTGAAATAGATTGAAACCTTTTATATTCAAATTTTGTTCCCCTAAAATTTGAACCAGTTTATGAACTCTATGGGAATGATTACATCTTTTCCGAGTAATATAAAATTCAAGAAGTTGCAGGCACGTGTTTTGAAGCACATAAAGACATTTTCGGATAAAAAAAATGGCGGTTGGATGGCTAAAAACAAACAAATTTCTAATCGCTATCATTTAAATTTAGTCATCCAATAGTCATTGATGACCTTTAATTCTGTTCATAATTTAAAATATAAATTTGGAATTCCATTAAAAATAAAGTTCATAGTGTATACACTAAAGAAATTAACTTTTTTATAGGACATTACAAAAAAGAAGACCTTATTCAAATCTATTTGTTAAAACAGATTAAAGGAAATAAAATTATTTTAACTTCTAAGTTTATAGTTTTAAAAAACAATATTATTAAAGCAAATGTGAGTCAACTTTAAGTATCCTATTTTATAAGCTCAAAAATAATGGAAAAGCTGACAAATAATTTAAGAGAATTCGTGTATTTTTCCTCACCTCACATTCTTTCTGTGCCAATCTATGACAATTTTTTGCTGTATGTAAGGGTAAAAACATTTTTTATCCTTATTTTATAAATGCACATAAAAATGTGCATATGGGAATGCCACACATTAAAAAAAATTCATTTATGTTATTAAGAAGAAAAATGTACTGTCATTTATACTTAAAAATTATAATAAGTGTCTTTAATTTTTTTTTGTAGTAACAAGAGATTTTAGAGAGATAAATTAATCTTATTACATTTTAAATGCTGTTTACATTTCATCACTATTTGATATTTTATTTGACTAATCTATCATTATAGAATAAAATATCCCTCTCAATTAAATTTAAACTATTAAATTATACTTCATGTATCAAATATAGCCAAATTCTCACAGATATACAAGCATTTCAACTATGTTTTACAATATTATATAAAAAATATTCGCAACTCTATCAAAGCGAATTAATATAATATTCCGTAAAAACATTATTAAAGCTACCTATCTATATAAATTCATTAGAATCTTTTCGTTTATATATTATCTAACAAAAACACAATACGTTTCTCATAAATGCAAAATAACTTTAAAAACAACCAATTTAAGAAAAATTTTCATCTTCTCAATTTAACTTAAATGAAACTTATATGAATGAAATAATACACATACATTATCTATAACATATATCTTTTTTTTACTTCATAAACAAGGGTAAAAACTGGGGAAGCAAATGTCTAAAAGCTGCCAAATGTCTCGTGAAATACACTTTTGTTCAGATACATGTCCGTTACCTTTTAAATGATGTTATAACTACTGTTTATATTTTATAATTAAAAAATATTGATCAGGGTGCACTTTATCTGAAGGTACAAACTTTACTTTAGCATCTGAGAGACTTAGGGCATTAACGTTCTTTGTTCAGAAAAAAAAAATTTGAAACGATTTAACAGAAGTTCAACTTTGTCCATAAATGACAAAGGGGTATATTAAATAAAACTACCTATATAGTTTTTTGCTTAATTTTTTTTTTAAATATTGATTCCATTTATATTTGTTTCTGAAAGAAGTGTATTTTACGAGATATTTTGCATTTTTCAAATTTTTATTTCACTTTAAAGCATTATCAGGTTGATTAGAATAAAACTAACGAACAAAAATTAGTGAATAATACAAACATGTAAGACAGTTATTCAATAAAGATCATTATTTTCACAATTATATTCAAATGAAAATCAATATTGATCACAGTAGGGAAACTATTCTAAATAAAATGCATAATAATCAATAATTCTTGAAGATGGAGTACTTGGAAGTTGAGGGAATCCTTCCTGGTTGGACAGGGGTGAACCAGCAGCATGGGGGCTAAGCATCCTAGAACACATTTCCTGAGCCACGGGGAGGGTGGAATGCCGTCAGAGCCCTTGCTGTGCAGCCCTAATGTCATCGCCGACAGGAAAGCGATAGATGAAACTAGGCATAGACTGCAGATCTGATAGACACCTGACAGAAAATGAAAGTTTGAAATTTAATGCATACTTTTTTTTGCATTTTGAACTGAAAGATGTCAAGTTACGCAAGATGTACAGTTTTGATAAAAAAAAAACAGTTTTAGATATTTTTTGCAGTAAAAAGGATTTTAAAGCATGCAGAATGTATGTATGTAATGTAGCATTATGAATCGAATTCATGTTGCTTTTTATGTTATTGTCTCCTAAATTTGTTTTCTCCTATTCTTCATGCATAAATAGAACTATATATACTTATGGAACCAATTTTTTATGAGCAACCGGTACTACAAGTAGATTTTTATTTTACAATTTTGAAATGTTCACTTTACAATTTACACCATCATTTTACAATGTTTCGTTACTCAGAAACCTTCTGCGTTTTAAAAACTATGAAAAGTCACACTATTTCAACAAAACTTCGTTAGATGTATAAAATTTAATATTTGTTTTTACGTCAATGTTATTGAAATGGAAAAATGAGTTTCTATTTTTTTTTAATATTACAAGAAAAATTTATAATGTTATAACATCGGCTAACTTGGAAAAATATTTATTAAAAAAATTCGTTGTAATAAATGTATTATTAATTTTGTATTAAAAAATTATAATTAGAAATCAACATCGTACAATAACTTCTAATGTGGGCACAGTGAGTCAAAATGAAAAAAAAGACTTTAAAGTTTTATTTTTATTTATTTAGATATTGTTAAATTTAATATTTTCTGTCATTGATAATAATGCAGCAATGAATCTTTCTAGTTTAAAAATTATATAATTTTTACCGGTTTAAGTACATATATATGTATGCAATATTTTAGAAACGTAACATTCGTGAAATATGCCAGATATTTTTTTAATATTTTCATCAAAATATTTAAAATTTGCAAGCTTTGTGACATTTTCTAACAGATTATGAAAAATAATAAAAAGATCTAAAAAAAATATTGAACGATGCCACTGTGTCTCATACACAGAGTTCTGTCCCACTGTTCAGTGTTCAAACACCGGTGGTAGTTCGGTGTCCAAATATATGCTCCATAAGGAATAAGGTGTTCAAAAACTCATTTTTCACGAAAAATGTTTGCTTTTAATTATATTCTATATTATTTTGTATGTTTTTCTATTTCTTTGCTCTTTAATATGTTAGTTACATATATAATACATTCGCCATATTAATAGCGTTGGAAAATAACTGTAAAGTGTTTGGAAGTATTTCTGCATTCTTTCAGAAATCAGGTTTAAACCATATTTATTGGATCATTTAAACCTCAAGTTGAAAAAAAAACCAGCGACATTTATAGACTTAAATGAGCAAATAAAAATTCTCCCCAATATACTTTAGTTTCAATAATAATACATTGGATGGCATTGAGAGATATAAAATGCTGTGTAATTTTTTTTTACAAATATGAAGAAAAATTAAATTTATATTTTACAGGAAATATATATGCAAAGATTGCAAATTAAAAATTACTTCTTATTGATACAATAAATTATTTAGATAATGTTTAAAATGTATGCACAGTAAAATATTATAATTTTTGTCTGTGGTCACAAAATTAATTATTGTATAGTAATTAATATATTTTAAAACGATTAACTCCCATTTTCAAATTCTTCAAATTCGGGATTAACGGCCCGAATCGACTTGGCTGTTAAATTCATATAATTGTTAANCTTATTGATTCAATAAATTATTTAGATAATGTTTAAAATGTATGTACTGTAAAATATTATAATTTTTGTCTATGGTCACAAAACTAATTATTGTATAGTAATTCATATATGTTAAAACCTCTAAAACTATTTTTTATAGATTTTTAATTTCCGTTGATTCTGCTTAAACTTGCTGTGGGACTTGATTGCAAGTGGGTTAAAGAAGTTTTTAACATCACGAAAGTGCAAATATAAGTAACAATCAAAAAACATGTATATGTACTTCTAAAGAGTTACAATATAGCTTAAATGAATGCAAGAATTGAAACAAAAACTACATTCTAAAAAAATAAACATTTCACTTTCATCTTTATGTCATACGGTATGCTCGTAAGTGCATATCGTAATAAATATAACCAATATTTTTTCAACATTTAATCTATAACAGCATTTTTCAAATATTTAGAAAACTGCTGAATAGAATATTGAAAAATAAAATCCGTTTTACAGACTTTCAAAAGCGTATATAAAATAAGATGGCAAAAATTTAAATACTTGGTTTAAACAAACTTTCTCGTTTATCTTACCAGCATATTTGCACACATCCTCTTAAACTTACTATTCCTTAACTAAAAGAAGCAACCAACTTAAAATAGTTCTTTTTTTTTTATCTTATTCTGAATACATGTTAAATATTCAAAAGAATTTTATTTAACATATTTTTTTTTTCATTTAACTCAAACAATGTAGAATTTTGTTTAATAAAAGAATATCCTTGAAAACTTAAAATTTAGAATGCTTCCTAATAGCATTTTTCTTATAGTTAGGTTGAAAAGTTATTTGAAATTATTTTTTCATAAGTTAGAGCTTACATTGTAAAAAATTCAGGATCAAATTTAGGTAAAATGGAATTACGGTATTGTTTATAGAATGTTTGCAATCAATTAGAAGTTGGCGTGACTTTGTTGTTGTCTTCAATGCTAATATATATCTAAGAAAAGTTCGCCGTTGAAACATGTATGTATGTTTTAAGTTGCGTAATAAGAATATTTATATTTTATTTTTTAAGTCTCTGTAAACTGTACACTGTAAGAATTTTCTCTCTAAAGTTATGGCAAAATAACCGGCAGCAGTCTGTCCATCCAATTAACCGTAAAGTTTACGGTAAAGAACATTTTTTACCTTTACGGTTTTGAAACCATTTACAACTTGTATGGTTAAAAAAAACATGATAACAAAATTATATGTTTTTTAACCATTTATAACTAGTATGGTTTCAAAATAGTTAAAAAGACTTGACATGGCAGATAGTTTAGCAGCTTTATGGTGCTGCCATCTAGGCGTGAATGAGAGTATCGTATTTTCATATCCCAAGGTCACAAATTAGGGAGTGCAGGATACTGATAACTCTTCGTGTGATTTAGGGATTAGAGGAAATTTTGAGATCTCATAGCTGGGATTCGAACCCCCGTTCTTTCTGACATAAGTGCAAGGAACAAGCCAGCTGCAAGGAACTAAGTGACTTCAGTATGTGGGGACTAGTTGGTGCGATAAAATTCTGGTTGTTTAACCGTATTAGGTGAAAGTAGCAAATAACCGGTTTTTTCTCACAATTTACAGTTCAAATACCATCTTATTTATAGTTATTTGACTGTTTTGTTTGAATATGGTAAAATAACAATTAAATAAATTGTTATAAAACCATTTTTTCCAAGAAATTTCTAGCAGTGTATTAAATACGTTTTTAATGTATAGTTTCTTCTCTGTTAAGCCTAGTTCGAATTAGTCTTAATATTTTCTCTTTAATACGCATCCGGAATTAATGATTATTTCTATATATTGTCGTAAAAAATAACTTTACTAACTCTTACTTGTATCTTCAATAAGTATAAATATAAGTGTTACTGAATATGAAAAATAGTGGCAGCTACTTTATACCAAGAAGTGAAAACGATCTCATCTCATCATTCTTGGTGTTTCGAAACGTCAGGAATTGGCCTTCGTTCTACGTCATTTTGTATAAAGTAGTTGTTACCATTTTGGTGCTAAGATACACTAAACTTTTTTACAATGTGAAAAAGCGAAATGTAACTTGTTAAGTTCTTTCAATGTTAAATCAAAATGTATCGGATATATTAGCTTTTAAAAAGTTTTCAGATAACTTTAAAATGAAAAATCCCCTCAAAATACAAATGCATTCATGGAATTCCATAACATGTTGTTGCTTGAACAGGTCTTTCGAATAACAAACATTATCATTTTCATTATTAAATATCGGTTTCATTTTTTAATTTTACACGAATGAACGGAAAAATAAATGCTAAAATTATTATTGCGAACATGTAAGTCAATAATTCGTGACCCGAATTTAAGTACACAACAATCCTCAGCAAAATAATAAAATATTCATATCTATATATAATTTATAGGGAATTTTAATTTTCTCCTTTGAAGAATGATCATTAAATATTTTTCGTAAAGTAAAATTTTAATTTTAAATCGTCAATGCTATCATTTCAGGTTAGAATAAATTGACAGCTAAAATACACTTTAAAAGGAAAGGGCACATCTTATCTAAATATACTCAAAAGGGAGCAGCCGCACTCTAAGCTATATGTTTCATTAAATAAACACAACCACTCAAAAACAATAACTTATCAATATGCAATTAAGTTTTCCAATCCAACCGAAATTAATTGCGTAAATGGAGAAAAATCTTCACTTCACTTTGTTATTCTTTTTTTTTCCTTCAATAATATCACATTAAATTAGATTTCAATCACAAATGATTGCGCAAACCATTCAATTATGCGATGCAAGATGTATCATGCTAATTATTGGATGCCAAACACAGAATGTAAATTAATGGATTCTAGCAAATATGCTTTTTCTTTTAGAAAAGAAGGTGCACCGTTTTTGATCCACCGCTTGTGTCATATCCAATATTTCAGAGCAAATAAATAAATGTTTGTAATGATTTCGAATAGCGCTATTTACGAAAGGATATAAATTAAATATGTTGCTTAAATTCAATAAAAGGTTTGTCTATTAGGTTATGAAGCATAAAAATGTTGCGTTTATATAATATTTCGTCTCACTAATCAGCAAACTAGAGTTAGAAAATATTTGACGACAAAATGTTTTTTATGTATGAGAAATCAACAAATTATCTCGGTAAAGGCTGTATTTTTACTCTCAAAGTTTTTTTAACCAAACAGGTAGTAGTTATTTTTAATGAACTTGTTTAATATTTAAAAAGCTTGGTTGTGATAGCTTACTGAGAAAAAATAAGAATAAATATAAAAAAAAATCAGTAAAAATACTTTAAAATAAAAATGCTTCCTTTTAAATTTGAACTTAACACAGAAGACAAAAAAAAATCCCACGTAACTTCTACATCTACGTAGAGGAATTTTTGAGTCAAACTTAACCGCATTTGCGATTTGAATTTGCAAAGAAAGAAAAACCATTTGAGGATATTTCTCATCATCACTGTGGTTAAGGCAAACTGAGTGACGTTATCAGATTGATCAGCCATCACTGGGAATTGAACCTGGGTGGCCACATTGGGAGGCAAGTGGTCTGCCGTATAAAATATACAGCCTCCATAAATATAAATAAAAGTGAAATCCTTAATCATTGTATCACGAGTAAGATTTGCAAGCTGATTCACCGATTCATTAATTTATCTATTTATTGATTCTCCCATTCACTTGCAAACACATTTATTAATTCGCTATTAAAATAATATTGCATTTCATTTGTTCGCCTATTGAATAGTGCACTGATTCATTGATTCGCATTTTTTATACCTCCTTTTCTTCATTTATGATAACGCACGTTCTTAATTAAAAAAATAGAAATATGATATCTTATAAAGCAATGTGGTCTTTTTTTCCTAACGAATCAAATCAACTACTATCAAATATCTAACAAACCTAATAAATATTACTATGAAACTAAGAAAAGATTTTTAAAAACTAAACCACTTTTTTCTGTCTTTTAAAGCATCACTTTAGTAAAAAAATTAAATTCATAAAAAAGTCTTCATTTGCCAAGTAAAAAATAAAATAGACCTGCTAAAAAGTGAAAAAAAACGTGCCTTATTATGAAATCTTACTGTCTTTATAAGAGAGAAACTTAAATTGATTCACTGATTCATTGATTCGCATTCTTTAGTACCTCCTTCTTTTCTTAATTTTGATGGCACTCGTTTTTATAAAAAAAAATAGCAATAATGATAGCTAATAAGGCAATATCGTCTTTTCCCTAACGAATCTATAACTATCAATTACGTAACTAACCTAATAAATATAATGAAAAGATATTTAATAACTAAGCCATTTTTTTCTAAACCATTTTAATAACTAAACCATTTCTTAAAGTATTATTTTTTAAAAAACATAAATTCGAAAAAAAGGTCTTTATATGCCAAATAAAAAATAAAATAAACCTGCTTAAAATTAAAAAACGTGTTTTATGATGAAATAATACTGTCTTGATAAGACCGAAACTTAAACTACTGCATAAATATGTACTTCCGTTACGCAGTTAACTCACTATCTAATCGTCACTTCGCGTCGACGAAGTAAGAATGGTGTCTTTTTCTTTCCTTTATAAATGCTATATTTCAATTTTTTTAAAAAGAGAGTAATAAATAAAATAGTAATAAACATAGGTTATTTTTCCTTGAGAGAAACAAAATAAAAATTCGTTTTGTACAAAACGGACAAAAAATTATAACAACATTCAAACAATAAACAAAGAAAACTTGAATACCATATAAAGATTATGACAATAAAATCACAAACAAATCCTAACAAATCCTAGAATTAAAAACTTAGATAACATTATTCGCTCTACAATTAACAAAATTTATACATAAAAGAAACTGAGTGAAAACTATTTTTAAAAAAAAGATAATATTTTTCTAATGACAATTAACAGAATTTAATCGCTGTGTTCCAACTAATCTTTTAATGTCTTAATTAAAATAATACATCAATAATTGCTGACAAAGAGACCTGCTAGTTTTAAGAAATTTGATTGCGTTTTCCAATTAAACTGTTAGAAAAAACTAAACATTCAGCTGGTTTAAACGTTAAAAACAAAAATAAAAACTTGTGATAAATAAATTTACCTTTTGGATAAATCTCTTAAATGAAGATCAAAGTACGGATAAATTAAGTAACGAACTCCAGATTCCGATAAACTGAAAAAAGATTCAATAATTATCCAGTTTCTAGTTTTTAATAAAATGCAATACCCGCTCTTGCCGAAATGAAATAGGAAAAATATTCAGCGCAGCGATTGAAAATCCGAGCTTTAAATGAGTCCCTTTTTTTTTTCAGTTCTCCAAATAAGAAACGGATAAAAAGAGACGTAAAAAATAATACTTTAAATTAAATTTACTGGGGTGGAAGTAAATAAAAAGAAAAAGTTAAAAGAAATAAGTATTTCTTTTTCATTTCTATTATTTTTCTTTTTTATTTTCTTTCTAAATTGCATTCTACGCACTGGAACAAAATTTCTCAAATTGCTTTATTCGTAATTTCTTCATTGTATCTGTATTAAGTTTAAATTGTTCTGCGAATTTTTTTCCTTCCCCCGTTTACTTTTCGTTATTTGACTGTTTGTTAAACAACCAAAGCTCTATTAAAGATAAATTAAATCATGAAAAAAAAAAACAGTACATCAATAATAAATACCAATAAAAGCTGCAGTTCAGCAATTAAATGTGTTTATTATTCTTACAATTGAAGTTAAATAAAACTAAAAAAATTTAATTTAAAAAAAAATCGTGCAACATTTTTCTTCAGAAATTAAAATATTTTTACCTAAACAACTAATTCAATGTAAAAACAACGAAAAAGTGTTTGAGTGAAAAATTTAACAAATTTGTGTATTGAAATTTCAATGTAAAAATCTCAAGTTTGTAGCAAATGATATCAATATTTTCTAAAAAATAAAAATACCGAAATGAAACATTTTTGAATGTTTTTACCTGAAAACCTATTCAACCGAAGTGCCTTAGTTTTCAGATATTTGTTGTTTAATTTTAAGGAATTTAAAGAAATTTTGGCCGTTTTAAAATTAAATAATAATAAACACTGATTACAAACATTCTCTTTAAGTTGTCTTTGAAGTTTTATAATCAGGGTTCCAGGAATATATCGAAATAAGCAAAAAAAGAAAATTACCGTTTAGAATTTAAAATTTATTCCTGAATGAAACACATGTGTTAAATTCCTGAATTAAACACATGCGTTAAATTTAAGGAACTGAAGAAAGTTTTTTTCTGTTTTAAAATTAAATAATAATAGACACTGATTCAAATATAATTGTTAAAATTAACTTTGGAGTAAGTGAGTTTTATAATCAGGTGCAAATGTATTTTGACCAAGTAGTTATGAGATATATCAAAATAAACAAAGAAAAATCTCATTCAGGGTTTTAAATTTCTGACTGTTTTCCTAAATTATATGCATATATTTAAATTTATGGGACTGAAATTTTTTTTGTTCCAATAGTTTAGGCAAAACAGAAGTTTGTTTGTTAATTGACTTTTTAAACTTTTTACAAAATTTCCAAAATTTTTTCAAGTATAATTCCCTGTTAAAAATAATTTTCAACAGTTATTTATTATTTACAATTACTTTATTTAAAAAATTATTGCAAAAAGTGCATTTTTGTCATTTAAAATTGCATACTTTAAACCAAATAAACATTTGCATACTCGACAATTCAGATATTTTTCCGAATTAAGTGCTGTCAAATGTTCTTTATGTACGCATAAAAAATCAATTCAATTTGTATGAATCAATTTTAAAGAACACTAGCTTTTTATATACTATTCCATTAATGTAAGAAAAATTCCAGAAAAAAAGTGGATTCGAGTCGCAGCGACAGGAAAAATTACAGCCGCGCCACCATTATATAAGAATATAGGATAGAGAGCGTATATTCGATTAATCTGTTAGTGTGGGAGTATTTTGAAACTCCTGAAAGTCATGTTAAAGATGGACAGATTCAGAATTAAACAATGTGCCATTTCTTAGTGGCAGAAGGTGAATGCTTCTTTATTTACCCTGGCAGAGCACTGTACAAATGTAACGAGTAATAACTCTTCTATTATTTCATCATCAGCAATAATGGATTGAATGGAGATAGATCATAGTGTTTGCTTGCATTTGTCTTTGAAGATCCGCTAAAGGATGTGCAGAAACTTTTACAATATTTGTTTTCAGCCGTTCATGTTAGACTAGTGGTTGGAAATCAATGATCCGCGGCTCACCCAATGTTATTGAATAAGGAATATTGGGTGATCTGAATGATTTTTTTTTCAATTTATTTTCTGCTTTCTGAAATAATGCTGATTCTGAAATAAAAGAGATGTGACCCAACGGCAAAATTTTTATTTAAAAAAAAATAATGAGAAGTCATAAATTATAAAAACATTTGCCGTCAACTGTTCTGGACATCAGTTCTCGCCATTAACAGGCAAAATTGGATTGATGAAACCGCTAAAAAAAACATACTTCTTTATAGAAGCAGCTATCTTTAGTACGTAAAAGTACCTTAAATTCTCTCTTGAAACTCTTCTGGTGATCTATTATGTCCCCCCTTGTAACCTTGAATAGCTGTGTTGCAATTGTTGCAGTATTTCCTTCATATGTGAACGACCCCAATATTGTCCAATAGAAATGACGAATGAACAACTATGTGTCAAAAATTTCGAGGTGGAACTAATGCTACTTCTATAAGAAACTAATATAACTACATTTTATTGACTACGTGCTATAAACTTTCTACGGTACGAAACTACTATAACTAGGCCTAAATATAATGCTATGTCCTATGACCGAATCGTACTCTTTATAATCTTATCATGAAGGCTTTTTAATATATTACGCATAAATCTAAAAGAAAAGAAAACACTTTATGGTAAAGCTCGTTCGGTAGTTTTGCATTAAACATACATCGATGTATGTCATTTTAACATGAACTAGGATCAAACACTTAAAACTCTTTAAGAAACAAATATGTCTTAATTTTATTTATTATCAACATTTTATTTTCACGCACATCTGGAAAAAAAACCCACTAATTAAGGTCACCATTAATAATAAACACCATTCAAACAATGTACCTAGGAGTGGTAGTTGTGGTGCAGGAGCCTTAGGACCTCCTCCGGTCGCCACAGAAATGAGAAGTAAAGAGAGAAAGCAGCCCATTGCTAATGTGACTCTTTCAGCTGATGAAGCAGGTACAAGGAAGGTAAGAGCAGCTAACCCTGTTATCAGGAAACATGGCAATACTTGGCGAAGCAGATGAGGTCCGGGACGTCGCCTCAAGACCAGAGAGAATGCCAAGGCTTTCCCGCTTCCAGGACTGACTAGCACATCTTCGAGATAAAACTCGGGATTTGGATGATAGTTTGAGAGATCCGTTGGTTCGGCAGTGAGTGTGACCTGGGATTACAAAAAAAAAACTTTTTGTAACAAAACAAGTATCGTTTTAATTACGAATTTCAATAGTGGTTATACTGACTAATTGGCAACAATGAGATCGTGTGTTTATTAATATACATAGTTAATCATATGGGTCAATGAGTGATGAAATTTTGGGAAAATGATTGATTTGGTAATTGCAAAAAAATGAGCTTCAGTGTAAAATTCGTTTAAGACTTTTGCTGCTGATCTCACGTAAGAACGTGGTTTTGCTACGCTAGTGAGTATCAGGCGCTAGTGTGAGATCAACAACGAACGAAAGTGTGAAAGTTTTTTTTTTAGGGAACAAAGCCCAAGTCGAAATACACAGCTAATCATAACCTTTAACATGGGCTAAAAATAAGAAAACCTTTACAGTTAGAATTGCCCACGTCTCATTATCATAACATTTGACTAGCTCATTTTTCGTATTATACACATAATGTATTTTAAATCCAAATATATATATATATATATATTTATGCGNTGGGAAAAATTTTAGGAAGTGATAGTACACACCCAGACAAACAATTTTTATCAAAGAATGCATGGTCGAAAACAAAACGCAAAGGTGCTGGCGCATTTGGAAAGTTTTTTCATGCAAACGAGAAGGCGCCATTCCTATTGCGAGTTACTGCGCTACGTTATTTGTCGCCAAGCTTTCGGCCGCTGCAGGGAAAGTTCGCCTATCTTTTCTTCGCCATTGTACCAGCATAGCCGCTGCCGGCCACTGTTTTGAACACTTATTGTAATCACATGCCATTAAATTTGCTTTTATAACTTAACTTCATCGTTCTTTGTGTGTTTTTGCCTCATGATAACATAACGAACATAAACTTTGATGCCTTCTAGCGGTTTTGGGTTTTGTTTTCGACCATGCATTCTTTGATAAAAATTGTTAGTCTGGGTGTGTACTATCACTTCCTGAAATTTTTCCCATCTTTTTAGAATCACCGTGTATATATTGCCCTCTAACATGTCAGTTAGCCATACCACTTTCTACTTTGTAGGTTCCTGAGAAATTCTAGATGTTGTATCCTTACGGTTCCTTTTATGGTTTCAATAAACTGTGATTTATGAACGCGGTTCATTTCGTTTAATTTGTTAATCCAATGGAATATTTTTTTCTAATACATAAAGAATTTGCATTTTACAGAATACAGTCCAAGTTTTTGGCCTGTTGGAATGAAATATTTTGAGCGGTGAGGAGAGTAATGAATTGAGGTACTAATAAGCATTGTCACATTTTATCATCATTCAGGTTAAATTTATTTGTATTCTTCGTTTACCCCTATGCGGCAACCAATTAAAAAGACTTCAAGAGACGGGTTGAAATTCTCGAGACCCAAAAATTACCCTTCTTTCATCAAAAAGGGCAACGACAAAGGTTCTCATAAAAGCAATTCACGCTGGAGTGAATTTACTCACAAAGCAATGATGCCCCCAGAAGCCAAACGGCACAAAAATCACGCCAACAAAAGAAAAAGAAGACAGCTCTTTTCCAAGAAAACCCCCTCGAGTGAAACAACGAGGAATTAAATGCAATCGTAGTCAAAAGAATGCGAGATAAAGCACTCTGCCGATCTAAGAGACAGTGGCGTACCTGTCTACATAGCTTTGGGGGGTGACGCATTGCTCTAAGGGTTTTGGCAAGCTTCCTAAATCCGCTTGCAAAACTTTCCGGAAACTATATTCCTCTTAAAAAGGTGGCACGTTTGCGCCAACTGGAGAAACAGGAAAAGATGACGGAAGAGGGACTTCAGAAATTAATGCGGTATGCTCTCCTGACGTGCCTCCTTTTGCAAGAAAATGAATCATCTGCGCCCCTGTGACCGTGACAAGTTTGGGAGAAATGGGGAATTTTTACTCTACATACCGCAGTCAGAAGTGGGAGAGAATTTTGTCGAAGTCGCCAAGGAGAACTGAAGTATGAAAAAAAAAATTTTAAATGAGTGCCTTCTGAGTTTATTTAGAATATTTGGCGGTAGAGATAAGAAATGGGCCTCGTCAAAAGTTAGAAAAAGAGTGCTGCAAGAAAATTCTTACTGGGTAATAGGGATAGCTTTTATTTTCAAGGCTAGGTATGTTTTTTTGAATGAAAAATATAGTTCTCTTTTTTTCGTGTATGTTAGCACTAGAATTACAGTAACAAGAAACCACAAATCATAAATATTTTAAAATTGTGTAAACCTAATCACTTTGTAACTCCATAATCTAATACTTATAAATAAAGTTTGAATAGGATTGTCATGTACTAATTACAAGGGTAATAAATTATGCAATTTAAAGAAACGGGTGAAGGCATCTAAATAAAACTGCACCTACAGTTTCAGATTAATTTCTAGGCATTGGCAAGAATTTTGAATAAAGATTATATATTTCATAATCCAAGAAATAGTCATAAAGATCATTCGTTTATATCTTGCTAAAACTGAAATCAGCGTTCTTCGGGTTGCTAAAACTAAAGTTAGAGTTCTTTGGATTGCTAAATCTGAAGTCAGCGTTCTTTGGGTAGCTAAAACTAAAGTTAGTATTCCTTGGATTGCTAAAACTAAAGCTAGTGTTCTTTGGAGTGCTAAAACTGAAACCAGAGTTCTTCGGGTTGCTAAAACTAAAGTTAGTGTTCTTTGGAATGCTAAAGCTGAAGTCAGCTTTCTTTGGGTAGCTAAAACTGAATTAGTGTTGTTTGGATTACTAAAACTGAAGTAAACTCTTTGAGCCGTTAAAATTGAAGTCGTGGTCTTTTGGATGCTGGAATTAAAGCCGTAGTGCTATTTGGTAACTAAAATTGAAGTCATTGTGCTTTTTGGTCACTTTCCCCATCTCTCTCTCTTTTTGTTGCTGAAATTTACTTGAACTCTATTGTTTAGTGAACACTATAAAATTAAAATCCTTATCACTTTTTACGCTGCTTATTAACACACAAACTTAGCTTTAATTGAAAAGAGGTAGACAAGTATTAAGAAGTGAGTGATGATTCTATCGTAAATATCAATGATATTTTACGTAAGTGACGATTCTATCAAAAAAAAATTTATCGACTAAAAAAGAAGTGAGAAATTATGCAACAGAATAAATTGCAAACAGATTAAAGTTTTAAGATTGTTGTATGTTTGAAGATCAGCATCTGCAAACATACAACAAACAAAAATTTACAATACAAAAATTTGCAAACAGATTGATTGCAAACAAACCGTTCGTACACGAATCGAAACCAAGTAAAATAAAACACATTTTGGAAAAAAAGGAAAGATATATATGATAAATTTATTTTATCATCATCGTAGAACTTGTGTCAACAATTGCACTCCCTGTTTATTTGTTTGAATGGAAGATTTCTGAAATCTGCATGTTAAAGACAAAATAAGCAAATAGTTAAAATATGGTGACTTTATTTACTCTATAATAGGGGATAGTTTGAACTACCAATTAAAATTCAATATTTGTCTTACGTAAGATGATGATACCAATATTATTTACTAACAAAAATAATCCTATAATTTCGTTCAATGAATTAAGAGGTTTTTCGAACAGATTAATAGGTCAATTAAAAAATAAAGCATTTTGAAAATTAAACACAATATATTTATTTTGTGAAGGAATGTTTATAAAATTTCTAATAAATCTTTTAAATTATGACTTTAGAAATTGTAGTTCTTGTTACCATACATTTATTAAAAAATTCAAAATTGAAAATTTAATTTTACCAAATAATTGAAATTTATGCTACGCACTAAAGTATCATGATAAAATTACTACATTTTACCATCTTTACCATGCTTTATCCCACATTATAAAACCATAATTTGTTTTTAATTGCACCAAAGCCATTACCAAGGCGATTTGATAAAAATTACTGAGCTTTTTTGTGTTCTCAGAGAGCCAGAAACATTGTGATTTCTAACATATTCTTGCAGTTTTCACATTACTTTCTTTTCATTGTGTGAAATCGATAATAAATCATTCTTTTAAGGGCCCTTTTTTTTAATTATCCTAAAAACGGAGAAAAATTAATGTGTGATGACTTTCCTTGAAAATTAATTGCTATATAAAAAGAAAGCAATGTATTATTGTAATATGATAACATCAAAACCACTTGTGATTAAAAATATGATAGGACTATTATGAAATATTAAAAGATATGATTAACGTGTTAAAACGTATCATGATGTAGAAAAATGTATCATACTACAACAAAATGTATCGTACTAAATAAAAACGTATCATACTATATCAAACTTCAAAATTATTCCATAAAATCATTAGCTAAGTGTTACTATTATAATGTTATGTTGATAAATTTATAATATTAAAGTGTTCCCTTTTTAGGTTAAATTAGGCTCATTATATGGCATTTAATATTCCACAGTATTGTTGCTTTTTTATGTGCTTGATACAATGCTTACGATTGGTTTAAACAAACTTTAAGAGCATCCACGCTCTTTAAAGCGCTCCTTCAAAGAGTTAGCAGAGAAAAGCGCAGTCGAAAACACTCAGCTTGCTGCAAGTGAAAATCGTTACCTGTTGAGTGTCGTACGACCATGAAGTGAAGTTTAGATGGCAGAGATGAAAATCGAATGGAAAGAATCGAAGATCCAGTGCGCATGTGCTCTTCAGTAGTATCTGAGTCGTCCAAGAGATGTCGCCACTTGAGCGAAGAACAGCGTGGTCTCTTTCTAAATTCCATGGTGTTGAGGGATCGGCGCTGTGGAGATAAAGAGAAAAGGAATATTTATTTCTTCTTTTTTAGTTCGAAGGTTGCGGAATCTAATCAATCGGAATACGTTATTTATAAGGGAGACCGATTTGTTTTCAGCCAGGTTTTCTTCTTTCGCATTAGAAAGAAAATCTATTCAAAAGCAGAATTGTTCGATTGTCAAACCTTTAAAGAACCATGATTATATTTCTGCTAAAAGCATTTTGTAAAAAGAACTGCAAAAACATTGTTTATGTATCCTTGCATGCTTAAATAACATTATAATTTTTTGGATAACTTACCTAGTGATCTAGTAAAAAGTAAATTTTGCGTACACTGTAAAAAAATCTGTTAAATTTACTGAAAAATATAACTTCAGTTAGTGTGCCTGTATAAAACCGTTTATTTCACAGAAAAAATCTGTTATTTAAAAACGGACATTTGTTTTTTAAACAGATAAGTACATTTATTTTTATTAAAAAAAAACTGTTATTTTAACAATAATAACTGTATAAAATAACTAAGTTATTGTGGTTGGTGCGAGCCAACAGCAGAGTTTGTAAGACCAGTCAAAGCCGGGATGTGATCTCGAGTCCATGCATTAGTCCGGCACTCCGTCCCCTGAGTTCCAGTTTGGTCATGAAAAAAAGTTTTAAACTGTCCTTATCTAAAATGTTTTAATTACTGAAGTCACAGTTAAGTGTAAAAACTTTTAAGCTATCGTGGTCCACCCTTATAAAATTGTCTGACATTTTAACTTAATGAAAAATTATATCTAAAGACACATATTAATTAGACAGAGTATCAATTTAACAATTAAGTCGAATCACAATTTTATTTATACGATGTTCAACACAGTGAAATAATTGCTGAAAAGTAAAAGCAAATATAGAAAATAATTGTAAAATCGATTTAAAAAAAAAAGATTAAGTTATCTTACGGTAAGAAAAATTTATGGTAAAAACTAGAATTTGAACAGACAGTTTTACTCCGTTTGTGATCATGGTGAAAAACTGAAAAAAACTGTTTTGTGTAAAACAGCTTTGAAATGTCAGATGTACAAAAAAAAAAGAAAAAAAATCCGAAACTTTCAGCAGAGAGCAGATAAAAGCAGAAAAAAATTTTATTGATTAAAAACAAACAAAAAAAATTTTATTGATTAAAAACAAACAAAAAAAAATTATTATCTTTAAACAAATTTTTTCTATAAAAATATGTTTATATATTTATTTTTTTGTTGTAGAATTTACAGTATCTCTGCATAACACTAATACTTGATACTTCATTTATGAAATAAAACAAATGTCAAATTTATTAAAATAATGCAATTAAAATAAAATCCCCAAAAAAGTGTTTCGTTAAGTGTATTTTGTAAATTAATACGCTTCTTATAACTATAACTATTCATATTACAACATATCAAGGAATTATTTTGTTTTGTTGATGCATTAGGTATTTAAAATACTTTATGTTCAAAATTCAGTTTTAATTGATAAATTCATTTGTAATAATGTTTTATTTTAGTTAACTAATCTAAATTTATTTCCCCCATTTATGCTTCTAGACAAGCATTGAAAAACTTTTGATGTATAAGAAAAATTCGAATATATTTTATGACTAACGAAAACGAATTTGCATTTTTTGCAAATTCAACGCAATGCAAACAAATTTACTCGAATTTTTGCAATAAAATTTTTAAATGGTATTTTTCGTTTGGATAAGGTTATAGATAATTTAAATATGACTTTTTTGTTGTAGTTTTAGGACAGATTCAAATATATTCGATAAGATATTGAGAAACTATAAATTAATGTAGTTACAAAACACTGACTGCGTAACCTTGTATGGTCAAAAAATTTATTGTATTGAACTTTAACGTTAAAGAAATTAAAAATATTAATCACATTGAAAAAATTTATTCCTGCAGAAACTGTTTAATATCATTAAAACAAAACCACTACATTTTAATTTTCTAATTTTAAATAATTTTCAAACTATTTTACCACTCGATTCAAAAAATGTGTCATAATTTAAAATGTCAAACTATTTAGCTACAATTTTTCACCACTCGATTGATTTTGAATCACTTTACATTTTTTTCCCTATTTATGTGTCACAAAATTCTTTGAATTCATTATCGAATAACTTATTATGATAAATTAAATAAAGAAAAAATGACTTTTTTTTATTTACATATTTTAAAATAAAAAATTGACAGTATTCACTATTTCAAGTTTCAGATATGTTTCTAAAATGAAAGTTAATTCAAACAGATATATGCAGAGGTGTTAGTTTGCCCCCGAAAAATACCCTCCGATTAGAAAACCCTGAAAAAAAGAGTGAGGTTACTGCAGAGAAGAAACGGCTACTTATTTTTCAAAAAAGGACCCAAATATATATTTAAACTTTCTTTTTTTATGTTAGTGATAGAAATTATTCTCGAATAATTATTCTCGAGTGACAAAACTTTCTTACAACAAGTTATTAAATGCAAATAATATTTAAATTTTAGTGATTTTAAACTCGCTTGAAAATCATATTTCAGTCGTCATAAAAAGTTTTGCTTNTAAAAATTTTATTGATTAAAAACAAACAAAAAAAATTTTATTATCTTTAAACAAATTTTTTCTATAAAAATATGTTTATATATTTATTTTTTTGTTGTAGAATTTACAGTATCTCTGCATAACACTAATACTTGATACTTCATTTATGAAATAAAACAAATGTCTCAAATTTATTAAAATAATGCAATTAAAATAAAATCCCCAAAAAAGTGTTTCGTTAAGTGCATTTTGTAAATTAATACGCTTCTTATAACTATAATAACTATTCATATTACAACATATCGAGGAATTATTTTTTTTGTTGATACATAATGTATTTAAAATACTTTATGTGCAAAATTCAGTTTTAATTGATAAATTTATTTGTAATAATGCTTTATTTTAGTTTACTAATCTAAATTTATTTTCCCCATTTATGCTTCTAGACAAGCATCGAAAAACTTTTGATATATAAGAAAAATTCGAATATATTTTATGACTAACGAAAAAGAATTTGTATTTTTTGCAAATTCAACGCAATGCAAACAAATTTACTCAAATTTTTGCAATATAATTTTTAAATGGTATATTTTGTTTGGATAAGTAAATTTAAATATAACTTATTTGTTGTAGTTTTAGGACAGATTCAAATATATTCTATAAGATATTGAGAAACTATGAATCAATTTAATTACAAACCACTGACTACGTAACCTTATATGGTAAATAAATTTATTGTATCCAAAATTTATTCCAATAGAAACTGTTTAATATCATTAAAACGCAAAACCACTATATGTTAATTTTCTCATTTTAAATAAGTATCGAACTATTTTACCACTCAGTTCAAAAAGTGTGTAATAATTTAAAATGTCAAACTATTTAGCCATAATTTTTCACCACTCGATTGATTTTGAATCACTTTACATCTTTTTCCCTATTTATATGTCACAAAATGCTTTGAATTTATTATCGAATAACTTATGAAAAATTGAATAAAGAAAAAATCACTTTTTTTATTTACATATTTTAAAATAAAAAATTAGCCGTATTCACTATTTCAAATTTCAGATATGTTTCTAAAATGAAAGTTAATTCAAACAGATATATGTAGAGGTGTTAGTTTGCCCTGAAAAATACCCTCCGTTGGAAAACCCTGAAAAAAAGAGTGAGGTTAACTTATTTTTAAAAAAAAGACCCAAATATATTTATGTGATGTTGATGAAAATTATTCTCGAGTAAAATAATTATAAAAAATGACAAAACTTTCTTACAACAAGTTATTAAATGTAAATAATATTTAAATTTTAGTGATTTTAAACTCGCTTGAAAATCATATTTTAGTCTTCAATTTATTTCTCAAATGTCAATTTAATATCAAAAATTTATTCTGGTGTAAAATGAACAATAAGATTTAAAGATTTAGCATCCTAAGTTGGCTAGACCTATCTTTTGGTCTAGATGCATGAGATGGTAGTTTATCTCCCCTCCCCGCCTCTACACAACACTGGTCCAAACATAGTCTTAAGAATAAAGATCACGAGTTTGAAAATATATATTATAATAAATGCCACTTCAGGGGATAATCCATTATTATCGATGTCATGTCAGGAGATTAAAAGAAATGGTCTGCAACCACTGTGTTCGAATTCTCCTTACTCAGATCATACCGACATGCTCTCTAAGTCGGGATCAATAGTGTCCAATTTTTCCCAGAACAATATTTCATGAAAGGGGTGGAGAGAGCAGGAGAGCCACGAGCGTCAGGTTAAAAAGAGCATATGACTTCATACAAAATATGATCCTAAACTACAAATTTATAACAGTTCCGAGTTCTAATGTTATATCGAGTTATATCGAAAAAAAATAAACGAAACACCATGTATAGCTTTTGATCTAATGATAGGGTTTTTACATACTGGGACTTAATCTCAATGGTTTTCAGACTTAATCTCAATGTCCCGCTAAAAATGGATTTTACGGTAAAAATCACCACCACCCTGAGTGTCGGTACTTCTAGCGTAATTTTATCCATAATTTTTTACCGTGTAGACACTTTTTTTGAAGTTGTTTTTTTTATCGATGTAGGACACCTTACCTACTCTAACCCCAATAGTTTAAAAAAAAATTACGTTGCGACCTTAAAGATGCTAATTAGAGAGAGATATTTTAAGTGACAAAATCAGACACAAAAACATTATTTTTTCTGAACAAATTTTTTATCAACGTATGGATTTTACTGTAAAAAGTATCACCAACCTGACTGACGGTACTTTTTACGTTATTTTATAAAAAAAATTTTTACCGTGCAGACATTTTTTTGAAGTTTTTTTTTTTTATCGATGTAGGACATCTTACCCCAATAGTTTAAAAAAAGTTACGTTACGACCTTAAAGATGCTAATTAGAGAGAGATATTTTAAGTGACAAAATCAGACACAAAAACATTATTTTTTCCGAACAAATTTTACATCAACGTCTGGATTTTACTGTAAAAAGTATCACCAAACTGACTGTCGGTACTTTTTACGTTATTTTATAAATAAATTTTTACCGTGCAGACATTTTTTTGAAGATGTTTTTTTATCGATGTAGGACACCTTACCTACTCTAACCCCAATAGTTTTAAAAAAATTACGTTACGACCTTGAAGATGCTAATTAGAGAGAGATATTTTAAGTGACAAAATCAGACACAAAAACATCATTTTTTCTGATCAAATTTCTTATCAAGGAATGGATTTTACTGTAAAAAGTACCACCAACCTGACTGACTTTTTACGTTATTTTCGCCACATTTTTTCATCACTTGATTGATTTTGAATCACTTATAACTTATTTAAAAATTTAATATGATGTGTAATGTATATTCCATTCTCCAAGATTGTTTATAAACACTATAGAGTTAGCAAAGCTAAGAAAAAAGAATTTAGTGCTTACACAGAATGAAATTCTAAATCCAAATATGGCCTCAAATACCGGCAATTTGGGTGCATCATTCGTTAAATCTATTTTACCGTAAAATCTATTTTTATCGTAAAATATTATTTCGTAAGTTTTAAAGAAATATTTATTCAATTTATGATTCAGTGATTTTAAAGTCATTATTACTTTAAAAATATCCGGGGCTTTTCTGTAAGATGTTCCGGTAAAAATGGATTTTACGGTAAAAAGTACCTCTACCCTGAGTGTCGGTAATTTTTACGTAATTTGATCCATAATTTTTTACTGTGTAGACACTTTTTTAAGGTTATATCTTACCGAAGTTTGACAACTTATCTACTCTAACCCTTATAATTTAAGAAAAATTTCGTTCCGATGAGTTAATATAATGTTAAGTAAAAATTTTAAGAAATTCGAAACTAAACAGTTTAGAATTAATTCAATCTCTCAAGGTACTCGGATAAATTACAGTCAAAGTTGTGATTTTTGAATATTATTTTGCTTATTAATATGAATTTCAAAATGCCATTCTGATTTGTCTAATAATTGAGACAATGCAAGTTTGTGTTTGTTTTGTGACATTTTATGTTAGATACTTTCCCGAAAACTAGCTATTTGAATCGTAGTGATAAGGAAACTTTCATTTTCTCAATGCTCCAATTTAATTTATTTGCAATCTTCTTAAAATTCTCAATTTTAATTTTGAACGCCGTTAAAATCTGTCAGACGGAAAACTTTTGCTCACGATAATTAGTTTGGAATTGAAAATTCAGCATGAACGCATAGATGATTTGGCAGTTGTAAAGTTTTACCCAGTTTACAAACATAATCACAATTCTGTATTAAATTTTACTCTAATTTATTGCAACAATTTGCTTTTTGGAAAGACTGTAGTGAATGATTGTATTTGTAACAGAAATAAATGAAGGTTGAATTCTTTCTAAGGGAATACTCCGGTGATAAATACTCCAACTCTTATAAAATATTCCAAACAAATGTAAAGAACAACATGTAAAATATGTGAATATTTTTTGCGTGATAATTGTTCCTTATTCTAAATAACTTTTATATAATAATCATAGTTCCTTATCCTAAATATCTTTTATACAATAATCACAGTTCCTTATACTAAATATATTTTTTATGAAATTATCATAGATCCTTATTCTAAATATCTTTTATAAAATTGTTATAGATCCTTACCTTTAATATCTTTTGTATAATAATCATAGTTCCTTATCCTTAATATATTTTATGTAATAATCATAGTTCTTTATCCTAAATATCTCTTATAAAATAGTCATAGTTCCTTATCCTAAATATCTTTTGTATAATAATCATGATTTCTTATCCTAAATACCTTTTATATAATAATCATAATTCCTTATCCTAAATATATTTTATAAAATAATCATATTTCTTTATATCTTAACTATATTTATAAAATAATCACAGTCCTTTATCTCAAATATTTTTTTATAAAGTAATCATTGATAATTATCCTAAATATCTTTTGCATAATAATCATAGTTACTTATCCTAAATATCTTTTATATAATAATCATATTTCCTTATATCCTAAATATCTTTTATAAAATAATCACAGTCGTTCCTCCTAAATATTTTTTTATAAAATAATCATTGATCCTTATCCTAAATATCTTTTGCATAATAATCATAGTTATTTATCCTAAATATCTCTTGTATTATAATCATAGTGGAATAATCATAGGCCATCTACAGTAAGTATTATAATGATAATTATCCTTTAAATATTTTTTTAAATTATTTCGCATAACCTTAAAGCTAATAATCTTGCACGGAGAAAAGAAATCTGATAAAATTAATGCATTGTATGGTAAAGACGTTTCTGGTACCAAAAGAATTCTGATTAATGAAACCAAAACATATGCTATTTAAAACATTCATTTGGTGATTTTTCAGTTTATACTGTTTTGTTATGGTTTATCAGAAATTCTGGTTTCCAAAATTAAGAAAACTTTTCCAATTATAAAAAGTTCCTGAGTTTAATGTGTTTGTTTTATTCGTAAGATATTACGTTTTTGTTTCATATCATGGAGAATACACTGTGAAAAATTCCGTATCAAATAATGGTGTAAAATACCGACACTTTGAGTCCATCATCCGTAAAATACATTTTAACGTAAATTTTATTTTTACCACAAAATATTACACCGTAATTTTCACAGTAATATTTATTTAATTAGAGTGATTCAGTAATTTTACGTTAATTATTGCTATAAAAATTGCGACATGTCAGAATTTTTGCTCAGTAACGTGTTCTGGTAGAAATGAGTTTTACGGTAATGCCTGTATTTTTTACAATAATCTGATTCGGAATTTTTAAGAGAGTAGTAAGAGAATATAATAGAAAGAGAGAGAATGTTTTGAAATATGGTGGATAAATGAAACATAACACTCTTTATTTTTATAATTTAAGAAAAATTATATTTATGCATAAAAAGAACTTGAGTTTAATGTGTTTATTTTATTTACAGCAATTTCGTCTTAAAATGTATTTTAGAAAAATAGAAATATTTTGTGAAAGATTGCTTCGTTTATTTTTATGTTGGAAGTAAAATTACAGAACTTTAAACTCAATAAATTGGACCTCAGTAATTGAGATAAATTTTCTTCTGTCAACGTAATTGTATAACATAAATTGCTCGAATATCATATAAAATCAATAACTAACAAGCTCAAAAACTTACAAATGAACTGATATTATAAACTTAAACTAAAAAAGAAAACGAAGTCTTTTAATAAAGGCAGGAAGATTCAGTTTCTGATTAACTGGAAAACGACCTGTACTAATTGGATTAAAGTATTAGTATCCGAATTGGGAAATATGAATTCAATAAATTGATAGACAAGATTCAAATACGAATGTCAGTGTACTAGATATTTTGTTTTACATTAATGGGATTTTCGTAAATTTTTCTTTTTAGTTTAAAAACATTTCTTTTTCAAAATATTTCATTTCAAAATATATTACTTATTTATTGGTTTTGTATTTATTAACAAATATTATGTTATTAATTTTACTTTTAAACAGGAATAAGCTTCTTTTAAGTTAGGTTTTAACTTTTAAAATATATCATTAAAATAATTACTTTCACCAAAATTGAGATAAACAATTTATTGCAACCAATTATTTATATAAATGTAATTACTTGAAACTAACTAAAACCATTCGCTTGGAATAGTATTTCAAATTAAACTGCTTCTTATCAGCAAAACTAAATGCATGAATAATTTCAAAATCTGGTATAAATAAAAAAAAAACTCTTTAGTGGATCTTGGATTTTTTTAAATGCAAATTTTAAAAAAATGAAATAGAAAAAAATTTATTAAATTTTTTTTCACTCAAAATAATTGGAATATTAAAAGAGCTCATGGATGAAAAACAAAATCCCTGTAATCATCTATGCATTAAAAAGTTAAAGGAACGATTTAGAAAATAGTTTGTTGCGAAACTGAATAATTATGTTATTAGGGACTATTATTTTATTATTATTATTTTATCATTTTTATTTTATCATTATTAATTCATTATTATTAATTTATCAATATTAATTTAAACAGGAAAAATGGTATAATTTTTTTATTTTTAAATGAATGAAAAAGAGAAATAACGTGTGTAATTTTGAAGTTCGAGAGTGATTCACGTGACCGGAAGTGACGGAGTTGTGATAAGAAGCTGAGTCGTACCTACTTGTTACGCAAAATGATATCCGGTCGCCATATTTGTGATGCAGGGATACGAACCGTTGTCACTCCTCCAAAATCGGACGAATTCCACCTAAGGTGAACATCATTCCATTTCTAAAAACACATAAAGAATACTTGTCATTCAATTCATCTATCTATTGTCAGTACATGAAAAACCTTGATTATTTGAAGTAATTGGGATTGAATTATTTGGATTATCGAGTCAACATTGTCTTTTCATCTTCAGAGAAAAGGATTAAAGTAATTTTTAAAACACTCGTGCTTTGCATAATTTTAATGTAGTTTTAACACGATGATTTATGAAACAGAAAGGTCAATTCTTTATAATAATTTGCTAAAAAATGTTTTAAAAAAATATTGTATATTGAGGAGTTTAAACAGAATAATATTGAAATTGAAAAAAAAAAAGAACTTCATTAAAGAACTAATATTGGTCACTTACACAAAATAATATATTCTCCGAAATAATGTGATAAATATTTTTTGAAAGCATACTGAGTTTAGACAGTATATTATTAAACTTATTATATATTATCTATGTTATTATAAAAGTTTTATGTGCACATAAAAAAATTAGACTTCGGAATTGACTTTGGTTAACAGAGCAATTCGGAAAATCGAGGCTCTACTATAGTAACTTAATTCACGAAGTTGATGTTATTATCAAATTTGAATTTTTACGCGCAGAATGATGTCTTAATAATGTAATTACTTTTAAATATTTAATTTTTTATTGTAATTACAAAGCATTTTTCTAAACATATTACGAATTTCCAAACTGTGGCTCCCAAATCAAAGTTGTGATGTCTTTCTTCTCACGAAATGAAAACCAAATCATTTCTTTTTAAAAACCTCGAACACTTTACGTGGAACATTTTGTGAAATTTTATTATTTAGTTTACCAGACCAGCTATGATTATATTGTTTATCAATATAATAATTATAATCAATATAATAATAATAAACAATATAATTGTTTATCAATTATTAAGCAGAATATCAGTCCTATTTTTATCTGTTTATAATTTATGTAATCATACAGTAAATTAAGCCTATTTTCATTGCGTTTAATGATTCTGTTGCTTAGTTTATTAATCCTGTTATTATATAAGTCTTTATTAATCTTCTAATCATTTATGCTATCTATTATATTATTAATTGTTTTAGCAACCCTTTAACTTAACTTATCAATAATATTTTTATTTAATTTTTCAATCCTCCTATTATTAATTTAGCATCCATATTGTTATTTAGTTAATCAATAATCTTATTAATTAATCTATCAATCCTATTATTATTCATATATCAATCCTACTATTTTAAAGTTTATCAAACCTATTATCATTTAGCTTATAAATCTCGTTATTACTCAATTTATTAATACAAGAACAAAATGAAGAGCCTCTAGAATAACACACACTTTTTTTTTATTTTAGGGGATTCTCTTTACAGATTCTTAAAACTGTGGGGAGAAAGAAGAATCTGAAATCAATTATTAGCAATGTTTAAAGATTCAATCTTTTTAAAAAAAGTAGTTTTTTTAGTGGCTTTTTATTTTTTTTTTCATTTAATGATATCCCGCAGTGGACTAATCGTGAAGACACTGTTCCATGTAGAATACCAAAGTCAAGCATTACTGGCTGCAGTCAGTAAGCGGGTGGGTGACCACTTTGATCAGCCAGCGTAAAGACCAAGGGTGCGCGGTATCGGTCCTCGTTAAACTGTTCTATCGTAAAGTGCTCGACTTCGCTCGGAGGTCTACCAAAGCTTGGGAGCCATCCCCTCCGCAGAGGATCAAAATTGCGATGGCATGTCTTCGGATCATCCTCAGAGATGTTTCCCGGACCGTCGCCAATAGCCCAATGTGCAGCTCTAGTGCGACGTAAATAAAGTACCTACCACATTCAATGATAATAATGGGGAAAAACGGGATAGCAAAATTATAAATTCTGGAAGATTTCTAATTTAAAATTAGTTTTGAAAATAAATTATTATTTATAAAATTTCGAAAATTGCAATTTGAAAATAATTTTAATTCTGAAAATTAATGTTTAGAAATTTGGATATTTATCGAGAAATAAATTTTCAAAAATGTATGTTTTAATTATTTCAAAAATGTTTGTTTTAGTTTTCACACATACATAAGCAGGCTTTTGAGTTGACTACAAGAACTGACCGCTCAAATTAGGGAAAAATAGTATAAAGTTAATATAAAGGTTACGGAGGAATTCGAACCCATTAAATTTAACCCACACATTTGAATACTTAACGAAAGAAAAATATTCTTCGTTTACAAACATCCTTTTCATCATTTACCTCCGAAAGTTTTGAGTATGAAGTCTGTGTCTTCAACATGCAACATTTTAAAGAAACGGATGCACCAAAATTTAATCGAATAAATCAACGTATTTTCTAAAGATTTATGGGGAGTAATCTATGCAAATGCAATTGTTTTAATATTTGTCCTATTTTAAAACAATAACTGTTACAAAATGGTTTATGAATTTTTTTAGAATCTACAATGTAAAGAATTTTGGATAAAATTACGGTGAAAAGTACTTACCAAAAAATCTATTTTTACTGTGTAATATTTGACGGTAAAAATGGATTTTACAATTGATACACCTAAAGTGGGGCCCCTTTAAATCGTAATTTGATCTGGTTTTTTTTACAGTGAGGGGAAAGTAACAATGCTTACGAAACAAAATATGTTGAGATAATTATAAACAAAATTAGTGTCTCTTAAATTGTTTTTTATTTTTTTGTAATTTTTTCCTGAATATTCGTAAAATTTGAAGATTTTATAATATAAGTGTTTTCCTTTACAATGGATGCTTTCACTTCTTTTTCCAATAATATTTTATTTGTTTCTTTATTTTGACTTCAAAAAGTTCGCGGATGTCCCAAATATTTTGTTCTGAAATTCGTGTATTTTGAAAGCTTTACTGAAATGTAAAGTTAAATATCTAGAGTACATAAATTTTTGTATGCGAACCATGCTTCAATAATTCAAAAGTAGTTGAATTGTTTTTTTAAAAAAAATGTCCGTTCTGGGCTATTCTGGTTGGAATCAAAGAAAAACTAAAGTAGACTCAATCCCTTTGTTCTGTCAAATCAAAAATTGATGCTCGTTCTGTTTTCGCATCATATATTATTCACCTATGATAAATCAAACCAACTTTCACAGGAGCTATTTTTTGAACTATACATATTTTATCACAAATGTTACAGTCACAGTTTGGAACAAAATTGCATTTCATGAGAAAGGAATAAAAACTTTACCTGAATTATTCTGCAGCTGCTGGAAAGCACACCCTGTCGCTCATCCTAAATAAAATATATATTGTTTATAAAATTATATCTGATATATACAGTGTGCGAAATAAAAATAGAACACTTGGATGGTTCGTGATCTAATGGTTGAATTTTCACGTATATAAAGATCAATCCTAATTGTTCTAAGAATCGAACTTCAAATATGATACAGTTTTAAGTTATGAAATCTGACACCAATACATATTTTTTCTGAATAATCGGAACCATTTCCTAGCGAATTTTAATTCTAAGTTATAAAAATATAAACGTTAGCCGGTATCTGGAAATAGAAACTCAATAACTAAAAGAGCTGTCGAAATTTTGGGTTTTTTAATGTTATCTTCATCCTCTGCGTTATTTTCAATACATCTGGGACCATTTAAAATGATCAAAAATTTCGAACACAATTTGAAAATCGCTTATCTTAATATAATTTTGAAGTAAACAATTATATTTTTCTAATTTTTTACTGCTTTTAAATATTTATTTAAACAGTGTCAAAAAATATTTTCAATTATAAGGTACACACATTTTTCTTCATCCTTAATTGCGTCATTCTGAATGAGAAAATCCAAAATCAAATCAGAAGTTAAAGGCACTGAATTCAATCCTAAATGGCATCTTGAAGCCCATCTAGCTTGAGATGGATGGCGTACCAGCGTTTCGGGGAAATAAAAGTCGCCTGTGAGCAATGCCGTCCTCATTGCCACAATCATGCCGTTAGTTATGAAATTGTGGACCCTTTACCTTCAGGACCCCCTTGCTCTCAACTTGCTGTTGCAGGAATGCTTTACTTTAGTTTGCTTATAAGATATGAAAAAAGGCAAGTTTATTCAGAAAAGATACAATTTTGTGAGGGATCTTATAAATGAAATATTTTAGCACATCCCTCGAATCATTATGATACGTATATGATATAATCTTAATGATTAATCTTAATGATTTATTATGATATAATCTTAATGATCCCTCGAATCATTAAGATTATATCATAATACGTGCAAATGCAATCATTAAATCAAAGTTTTTTTTCTGTGCACTACACATAATGCTTTGAATTTACAATCTATAATTTATATTTGCAGAATGCCGATCAAAACATAAGCACGGGCCTTTGGTGTAATAAAATCTTATACAAGTGAGACAATTATAATAAATTTTTTAAAAAAAAATATCACTAAAACATAGATTCTGGTTTATTATTCATAAATACATCAAAATTAAAAAGGAAACTACCTGGGAATTATTATCATGTTCAACCGCAAATAAGAAAGTCATAACCAAATTCATCGCCATTTGAAAGGCAATTATTAAAAACGTTTTTCTGTATCAATCCGCTAATTAACTGGTTTTGATTATATCAACGTCACATTTGCAATCATAGATTTTGGATAATAATTTGCCAGATTTTGACAGAGTTTTTTTTACTCCCTTAAATATAAACTTGCGACTTAACGAATATATTTTTACAACGATTCTAACAATATATATTAAACGTATCAAGTAATTACAATTATAAACGTTTCCCACATTGAATAAATCAGCAAGTTCCTCATACTTACATCATTAAATTAAAATCACAAAAAAAAACTTCCAACAATTTTTCATATTTTTTCTGTAATCTTAATATGAAGTGTCACAGAAGATAGGATTTTTGAAAGCTGTCAAATAAGATATTAGCTCACACTCCATTTTAACTTAGAAAAGGGGAGATTATTGATTGGCAAGAACAGATTGTTCGACACATAAGGACGTGGTATAGAATATTTTAAATTACGTATTAACTTGTTTATTTTTATATCGTACTCTTCCAGAAACGGTTAATTATCGGGAACTGCAAACTTCAGCTGTTTATAGTTTTTTTTTTTTTTTGTTAAAAAATTAACTTTGTGGGTAAAAGAGAATTATAAATTAGTGGTTTGAGTTATACTACGATGTTATGTTTGTCTCTTTGAATATTTGTATTGAGCGTTTTAAATGGAAACTGAGAAAGATAATGTGTTTCAAATAGAAACAAAATAAATATTATTTTGATATGATGTTTGTCGTTTTGAATGTTTGTATTAAGCGCTTAAAATGGAAACAAATAAGAAATTATTATGCTGAGATCTTAGCTTTTTTGAAATTAGTGATTTGAGATATACTACGCTGTTATGTTTGTCTTTTTGAATATTTGTATTGAGCGTTTTAAATGGAAACTGAGAAAGATAATGTGTTTCAAATAGAAACAAAATAAATATTATTTTGATATGATGTTTGTCGTTTTGAATGTTTGTATTGAGCGCTTAAAAGGGAAACAAATAAGAAATTATTTTGCTGAGATCTTAGCTTTTTTGAAATTAGTGGTTTGAGTTATACTACGATGTTATGTTTGTCTTTTTGAGTATTTGTATTGAGCGTTTTAAATGGAAACTGAGAAAAATAGTGCATTTTAAATGGGGAAAAAATGAAAAATTATTATGATAGGATGTTGGCCTTTTTAAATATTCATTTTGATCGGAAACTGAAAAAGATTGTGTGTTTTAATTGAAAACAAATAAAAATTATTGCGACGTAACATTGGGTTTTTTAATATTTGTTGAGAGCTGTTAAAATGGAAACAAATGAAAAATTATTATTCTGAGATGTTAGTCTTTTTCAATATTTACAATAGGTACTTTAAACAGGTATTAAAAAGGAGAAAGAAAATGAAAATTTTTTATGATTTGATTTTTGCCTTTTTGAAAATTTGTTTTGAGCTTTTTAAATAATGAATTGAAAATTTCTGTGCCACAGTCTTTAGTACCTTCTTTTTATTTTTTAATTTCAAGAACTTATGATTAGTTATATTACTGTTAAAAAAGTTAAATACAAAAGCACTATTTTAGGTACAGTTATTTATCATAGAATTCTTTATCCGATGATATACGAAATTTCCGACTTCATTAAATAGAAGTTTGAAATCAACATAAAACATTTAAAGCTGGAAATGATAAAAAATTTAAATGTGAATAAAACAATAAAAAAAAAATTAAAAATGTGAAAATCAAAAAAGATGCGAAAAGTATATATTTAAAGGTGACACATTACAAAAAAATGAAATACCTAGTTTTTTTATTTATAGTTGAAATGAAGATCTACAGAAAAACCATTACATGCCTTTGTTAGTTTTTTTCATTTTTATCTTTATATAAATATCTATCATTTTCTGGATATTTGTCAGAATTCCACATGAAAATCCCTCTCAAACGCTAGATTTTATTGGCAAGCAACCAATTATATTAAAAACGTCATAAAACACATTTTTTTTTACAAGAAAGAAATCTTTCTTTCAATAAAATTGGGGCAACAGTTAAATTTTATGAATATAAAACATTCATAAAATGTAATACTTCAAAACATTTCTGAATTCCCATAAAAAATACATAATTTTTACTATAAACTTTGCAATATATTATAATGCAATAAGCTGGAGTATGACGTGTATAAAGTACAATAGGTAACGTATAAACATAGTAATGTCTGTCTGCTACAACAATATCATTTTTTATTATAATTATTTAAAGAATTTGTTTTATAATTGTAAATGCATTCGTACAGTTTATAACATCACATGCTAATTGCTTTTTTTATGTCTTTTTAACAAAACTGTGTAGTTTATTACGATAGAAATACCTATAATGATATATACTATTTACGTTCACCAAAGTTTAATTTATTTTTTCAGGGAATCTACGAAAACTTCCCAAGGTAAGGTCAACGATAAGAGATGTATACACACTATATACACAGTAAAAAAATTCTGGTAAAAAGCACCGGCACACAGGGGGCCGGTACTTTTGACCATAATATCCATTTTTACCGGAACATGTAGAGGAACGTGCCGATACTTTTTACCGTAAAATCCATTTTTACCAGAACATGTTAAAGAACAAAGAATATGATACACCGAAATTTTTTCACTAGCAATTACCATAAAGTCATTGTATTGCTCTAATCAATATATTACTACATAGTTTCATTACTATTATAGTAATATAACTATTTTACGGGTAAAAATGGATTTTACGAATGATACTCTCAAAGTGCCGGTACTTTATACCCTAATTTGATCCGGAATTTTTTAACTGTGTTTGAAATGGTTCATTTTTTTATAAAATGCAGAAAAGTTTTAAAGATAGTCACGTGAGATAAATAATTTCCTAGTACATTTCAGATTTTGAAAATTTGTGTAATTTTGTTTGGGATGCCAATCTCAATATTTTCTCGTGTAGCACATTTTTAAAAACTTGCAACTGTGCAACTAAAAAAATGAGCTACTGCTTCACTTGATGTAAACCGAACCGTGCCACACTACCAAATTGTAAAAGTTCTCAGTATATGGCGCTATAAAACAATCATTTGTCAAATAAAAATAAGTTTTTTAAAAATTAAAATATACCTCACTAAAATAAAATAAAATATTTCACAAATAAATTAAAGCAGACCTTTCCCAAATTTTTTCCCTCTGAAAATGGAAATAAATTCTAGGGAAATTGAAATGAAACTTTTTAGAAATCAAAACAAGCTTTTCACAATTTAGTCTAGCATAACTCTTTTAAAAAAAATAATGGCGAGAAGGTGAGGAAAGTTCTTTTAAGAAGTAATTGCGATACGAATTTAAAGCACGAATCTTTAAAGTTTCCTTCATAACTGTAAAATTGAGTCTTGTTTTGCTTTAAACGACTGCAAATGAGAATAAATCTTTTATAGATAAAAATTATACTTTTAGTCAATAATTTTTTTTATTTCTCAAATTAGACTAAAGCTGTTGTAAATGGTAAAGCTTATTTTTTTTTAATTTATTGGTCGAAGAAAAATTCATGTGTTCTAAAAACGGTTTAATTTAGTCTTGCTTACGAGAAGAACAATTAAATAATTAGCCAAACGATTGGGATTTGTGAATGAGCCTATTCTAATGAGCCTTTCCTAACAATTTTTTGTGTAGTTAGCTCACCAATTTTCAACTTAAAATATACCAAAATACATCAGAAATCATCCATAATGCGTTAACTGAAATCTCTCGCTCTTTGAATTTTTCTTAACCATAAATTTTATTAAAACGGTGCGAAATAAATGCTTAGTAAAGCATCGAATTTCAATTTTACTTCTATCATGATTGAAATAAAATAGCTAAAACAATTTAACTTCCAATTTGAATAAACTGGAGAAGAAGAAAAAATATTTCAGATCATTATGTTCGGCAGTTCGCTTTATTAAAAAATACTTTAAATACCTTTATTTGGTGATTAAACGTTCTTCAATAGTTTCTGCGTAAATCTCTTCCGGTACCACGCGGTAATTGAGCAAGGCCACTTAAAAAACCATAAAAGAAATGGTTTGTTCGTTTTATGGTTTTCTAAGTGGTATAGGATGGGAATTTGTTTTCTTTTCGAGATAAATAGATGGGTACGAACTTATCTTAGTTTAAGTTCAACTTAAACATTCTGAATATTTTGAAACAAATAACAGAAAATATGAATGCGTTTTAAGCAGTGAAAATTCAGATTATAGTTAGTTTTTTAGCAACTGTTATTTAAAACACATTTATATTCTCAAAAATGTTTTTTTTTGTTTCGAAGATTTAATACTTAACAATATTTAACATTCATTTATTTTACAATAAAGTAAAGTGACTCGGATAATTGGAAAATGTTTTGCTTTCTTTTTTATAGTCAATATTTCCATGATGCTTTGCTCTGATATTTTGCGTTGTTGTGATTATTTTTTTGTTTTGTTTTGGTTTGATACTGTTAATTAATGTTTGAAACATTTTCAAGAAATAATAATTCTGTACAACTCAATATATTGCAAATAATATTATTAATGTGTATTTATATATGTTCTGAAAAATGTTTTAGTTTAGTGAATAGACAATTTTATAAAAAAATATTTTTTTATCAAATTATTTCTAAACAAATTATAAAAATTTTATCGTTTTAAATTATGAAAAAGTATAAATTATAATAATATTTATATATATTGTATAATTTTTTAATTTAAACAATAAAAAAATATTGATTAACCGAATAAAATAAATATTTTAAGGGCAACAATAATCCTACATTTAATCATAAAAATAAGAAAATCTATTTTAAGAAATGACTTTAAGAACAAACTGAGACAGTCAGTTTTAAAATTCTGTTGACATTCTTGAAAAAAATTGTTTTAGAATATTATATTTCTGGAACAATTTTTACTATAAACTAGAGTATGAAATTACGAAAAGTTATCGGTTATGAGAAAGACATTTAAACATTAAAAAAATCTTTATTTCTGAACTGAGGATCAATATTTTGCTTATATATGAGCAAAACTTTTATGGTAGGTTGCACACATCCTGCTAAAAGTATTGTGTAGTCGTGAAGGTATTGCAAAAAGTATTCTGTAAACATTTTGTAATTGTAGTACTAAAGGTATTCTGTAAACTGTAAGCATTTTATAATTGTAATACAAAAAGTATTCTGTAAAGTATAAGACTTATGATAGGTTGCACACATTCTGCTAAAAGTATTGTGTAGTCGTGAAGGTATTGCAAAAAGTATTCTGTAAACTGTAAACATTTTATAATTGTAGTACTAAAAGTATTCTGTAAACTGTAAGTATTTTATAATTGTAATGCAAAAAATATTCTGTAAAGAGTAAGAAATTCTGTATTTATAATACAAAAAGTATTCTGTAATTGTGATGCGAAAAGTATTCTGTAATTGAAATGCAAAAAGTATTCTGTAATTGTAATGTCAAGAGTATTGTGTAATTGTAAGTATTCGGCAAAATGTAACCTGTGTAAGTTTTCATTAAATAATTGTATAAAACAGTTAAATAATGAGGATCTGAATGGAATGATGCCTTGTATACAGTAGCCTTGTATATAGTATTGTATGTATATAGTATTGTATGTATATAGTATTGTATGTATATAGTATTGTATGTACATATAGTATTGTATATATATAGTATTGTATATACAGTCGACTCGTGTTATAACGACCCTGTGATAGAACGACCAACATGATATAACGACCCTGTGAAGGAGTCCCAATTCACATCCATAGAAGATAACGTTATTTTACTCTTGCTATAACGACCGTAAAAAAGGTCAACTCCTAATATAACGACCCTCTCTGAATTTGAACACCGCTCTTTTCTAACTTCCTATTGGAAAGTGGGGTTGAATGGTTGACCTTGAACAAGCACACATATGTTAAGTCCTCTTAACATGTAACTTCAACAAATTAATGCACATCAAAAAATTAATGTCTTCGTCTAATGAAGCCTCGTTTATGTTCCTCGGTTTACTCTTCTTTATAATACTGCAGATTATGTAAAAAAAAAAAATTCGTTATATATACCGCAAATTATGTACATCAAAAAATTAATTCATTAGAAACTAGATTTTTTTTTGTCATACTATGTTTTTTAATCTGTACTTTAAAATAAAATTCTTAATTGTTAACAGTTGTAATTCAATTGTTAAAATGTCATTATGTTTTATTAATGTATGCATCCTATCCTTTTTTGGTTTATAACATGTATACCACAAATAGTATATGCATGCATTATGACGTTTAAAACCATTATGTGACCGATTTTCAAAGGAAATTTGCTCATTTTGATATAGCGACCATTTGATATAACGACCAGATTGGGGCAGTTCCGTTGGGGTCGTTATAACGCGAGTTAACTGTATATAGTATTGTATGTATATAATATTGTATATAGTATTGCATGTATATAGTATTGTATGTATATAGTATTGTATATATATAGTATTGTACGTATATAGTATTGTATGTAGTATTGTATATAGTATTGTATGCAGTATTGTATGTGTATAGTATTGTATGTAGTATTGTATATAGTATTGTATGTTTATCTAAGAGCTTTTTTATCCATCAAAGCTGTTTATATTATTAAGAATAACTTGATTTTTCAACAAAGAAAAAAGGATAATAACAATAAGAATGGCAAAGTAATGAGAGCGAAATAATAGAAAGTAAATATTCTTACAAGTGTGAGCAATGCCAGGAGAGACATTCGAAAGGCAACTGCAACCGGTTGAGCGACCGATAAGGACGGACGGACTGCAGAATCATAATTGGACATCAAGTAACGGACGAGACGAAATTCTTGGTCATCACACGAAACTTCTGAAAAACATAAATCATTATTTCAACTCACATGATCACAAAACGGGACTGAAATTATACTAAGAGTGGTCTTTATGTACAGGTGTACATAACGACCACTCTTAATATAATTCACATTCAGAGTCTCACTATGATCAACGATACCGAAATCTGTCAAATAACTATTGAGGAAGGTGAGATGACAGACATAAAAACCAGTTTGATCACATGGGCAAACTTGGCGTTTCTTCTAATCATCTTTAAGTTAGTTCCTCTCTATTTCCCTCTCAACTCCAACAGCGATTCGTTACATTTCGAACCTACAAGCACTATGATATACAATACAATACATGAAGCAACATCCAGTCAATTCCTATGCCCCTATGGTGACCAACATTTAAATCTCGATAATGATGGATTTATTGATCACTGTTGGTAATTGTGGAATCGAATTGGCATCAGACTAACGATGATAAGTTTTTGTGATATTTTTATCTGTACAACTGAACGGGTTAATTTGATTCTGTCAAATTGTTAATCCCAAAAATTATCCTGTTTATTGGGTTAAGTTAATAACTCCAAAAAATGAAATGAATATTATTCAGAGCCTTTTATCCACACAGAAAAAAAGAATTGTGGCAAAATTTTCGTACTGTATGTTAATAACATTTTAGGTAACGAAAACACATCATAATTTTAGTTCATAAAACCAAAATATGCGATATTTAAATCATACATATGGTAGTTTTAACGTTCTTATGGTAGTAGTTTAATGGAAATTGTAGTTTTCCAAATTACAATTATTATTATCAGACATTTAGTAAAAAATACATAATTGAAAAGTAAATATAGCCAAGGCAAGGGTATTCGTACCATTGTTTATTTATATTATGAGGTATCATTATAAAATTTACCATTTTAGCACATCGACCAAGCTTTATCACTTATTATGAAATCACATTTTATTGTTAATTTTACCAAAACCAAACCAAACCATCATTACCAAAGCGTTTCCGTAAAAATTACCACACATTTTGATTTTTCCATTGAGCCACATTGTTAAAATTTTCATTCTAAAATTGTGGTAAAATAAAGAGCAGCTATTTGTCCATCCGATTAACCATAAAGTTTACGGTAAAGAACATTTTTTTTTCCTTTATGGTTTTTAAACCTTTTACAAAAAGTATGGTTATAGAGCCATGCATACAACTATACGGTTTTTTAACCATTTGCAACCATTTTTCAGAAACGTAAAAAAAAAAAAAAAATTCTTATTTCACTAGACATATGAGCTCGGATTTTCGTAAGGTAATGGGAATTGGAGAGTGCCGGATATTGGAAATTCTCCATGAGTTGAAAAGAATGGAGGAAATATTGTGGCGTCAACACTAGGACTCGAACTTCAGTTCTGCCAGTCATGAGATTGACAGATTAGCCCGTTCGACTATAATATGTACGCAGTTGCAAAAAACTAAGTAGCTTCATTAGGTGGTTCTAGTTGGTGCGATAAAATTCTGATTGTTTAACCGTATTAGGTGAAAGCAGTTAATGAACAGTTTTTCTCAAACTTAAACAGTTTGCGCATCATTTAATTTATGGTTATTTGACTGTTTTGATTAAATATGGTAAAATAACCATTAATAAATAGTTATTTAACCATTTTTTCCGAGAGATGTCTAACAGTGCAGAAATACGGTAAATATTACCATATTCTGATAGTTTTGACCACACTGTTTTCGCTGTACAAATAAATCAGCTAATATAAGAATAAAATATAATTCAATCATTTCTCTAAAAACTTACTTCATTTAGTTCTTTTAAAATCTCTAGTTTAGGCATAATGAAATAGTTTTAGAGATGGCTACTTTTAAAAACTTATCTCTAAGCAATTTAATTATTTCTTTATTTGAAGTACCTCAGTTTAACTGTTATTGAATGCAATAAATTAGCTTAAAAAGTCATGAAAAATAGATTATTACGTTTTGATTCAAAGAACGCGAATATTAAATAGGAAACTATTACTTATTCTGACTTTTTGGCAATTATTATGAATAAACTATGATGCGCAGTAATAATTTCGATTCTTCCAGTAACTCTCAAATACTTACATTTTAATTATAATTTTTGAAAAGTTTTATCTAATTTAAGAAAAGGTACATGCATGAATGTTTAAACAGAAAAATCAAGCAGCAAAATATTCTTTTAAGTAAATTTTTCCAACGTACTATATTTCAAGTATTTAAATTTCAAGTATATCATTACAAAACCGACCATTTGCAATAAATTTTTAATTAAAGTTTTGAATATGGTAAAAATCCCCTACTATCACGTTTCAGGGCGCAAAGTAAGAGCTTCTTAAATATTCATAATTATGGCAAAACATATTTCAAAAAGTAAATTATTAAACAGCCGAAGAATATTTTCTGTTTTCTTTCTATTCGTATGCATTTTGTGTGCTTAAACAACTTGTTTCTCTATTTTTATTGACAAAAAGATAATTTTTTAAGAAATAATTTTAACTAAAAGTTATTTGTTTCCACGTTTCATGCTGAATTTCTTCTCTTTGTCATTTTTAAGTACAATGTGACATTTCCTTTTCGTTTTTTTTATTTTTTTATTATTATTTTCAAATTTTATAAGTACATTCATAATATTTTAAGTTAAGAACGTGAAAGAAGAGTTATAATTAGCATACTTTTAATTTCTATAGTAATTGTATACATAACGCTTAGCTACCATTTTGAAAGTAACCACTAAAGATTAACTTTAAAATGTGGAAAAAAATGGTTACTATTATCACATTAGTAAATAATTATTATTATAAAAATTGCTTTTATAATCAGCAGCATAGATGTCACCAAACTTTAAATTAGATGAGTAAATATTGAGTCTTGATAACCATTTACACGTGTGTGACTAATTATGATAACAATAATGTCGATATTAATCGTCAGTTAAATATCAGGATGCAATAAAATTTAAGGTCGAAGTGGGAATATTAATTTTCGATAAAAAGGTACGCATACATGAATAACAATAGTTGCTAATTATAACTGTTCAGTCCTCAGGATGATAGCCACTAAAATTCACATTAGAAGGGCGAATATCTTTCTTTGATAAATGTTTACAAATTCTTTAATAAATATTATAAAAAATAATTAATTTAATGCTCACTTTAATAATTGTCACAAGAGAATAAAATTGGAAGAAATTGGAACCATGAATGTTTTTAATAACACCAGATCTTTGTTTTAATATAATTTATTTAAACTAATATTCTAATATGTGCGAAGATTCTAATATGTGCAATATTCTAATCTGTAAAAATTATAATGTCTTTGAATATTTTTGATCAATATTCACAAAACACAAAAATTAGAATAGTTAATAATACATGTATTTCTATTATAATCGTCATGACGAAAATGAACCACGAAAAATCAAACCTAAATATTCAATTCCGATAATTTTCGATAAAAAGGTACGCATACATGAATAACAATAGTTGCTAATTATAACTGTTCAGTCCTCAGGATGATAGCCACTAAAATTCAAATTAGAAGGGCGAATATCTTTCTTTGATAAATGTTTACGAATTCTTTAATAAATATTGCAAAAAATAATTAATTTAATGCTCACTTTAATAATTGTCACAAGAAAATAAAATTGGAAGAAATTGGAACCATGAATGCTTATAATAACACCAGATCTTTGTTTTAATATAATTTATTTAAACTAATATTCTAATATGTGCGAAGATTCTAATATGTGCAATATTCTAATCTGTAAAAATTATAATGTCTGTGAATATTTTTGATGAATATTCACAAAACACAAAAATTAGAATATTTAATAATACATGTATTTCTATTATAATCGTCATGGCGAAAATGAACCCCGAAAAATCAAACCTAAATATTCAATTACGATAGACATTTATACAGCCATGAATGATTATTGTTATAAAATCTACTAAAATAACTGTATTCATAATAGCCACAGAAATTGTCATTGGAAGCGCTTAAATTTGCTTTTGATAACTATTTGCACACCCGTAAATAGTTGTTATTACAATAATTGCTGTAGTAATTGTCTTCACGATAATCATAAAAAGATTCTAACCTTAAAAATATAATTATAAAGGTGAGTATTCAGTTTCTATAAATTGTATAGGTGAATATTTAGTTTTGATAAATTTTAAAGGTGAATATTCAGTTTTGATATTACACATCTTAAAATAGCAATTATTACAACATTTTCTATAATATTCGTCCTAATAACAACCACTAAAAATGAATATAATGTGTGGATCTTCATTTTTTTGCTAAACTTTTGTCATACTCGCGAATAATTACTATTACAACAATTGCAATGAATATCATCGTGATTATTAACAACTCAGAACTAAATTAGGTCCTTTAATAACAGAATATCGACGAGATCTTATGAAACTTTTTTATGATATAAATTAAAAAAATAATCTAATTCTAAAAAAATAAATTAATAAATTTTAAACTGTTTTCGTCATCCACCGTTCGTAAAAGGAAAAAGAAATTTTCACATATTGGTTTTCAAATATTATAGAAGAAGTTCAAAATTTTATGCGTTCGGCCTTGCTCTCAAACTTTTCCTAATTTCTCTTAAAAGGTTTTATGTTTACACCGAAATTCCTTATGCACTTTCATTTTCATTGAAATTCTACCCTTTATTTAGACAAGCTTAGTTCAAGGATGAAAAAAAAAATTAATTAAATATTTAAAGAAAAAATGAAAGAGCCATTTTAAAGGCAGCAACCTACACTAAGCAAATATTTGATCTAACCTTATCCAGCTATTGCTGGAATTTTCATTGACTTCTAGTTTATTCGGAGTTGCTCCAAAATTGAACTACATACGCAAACAGCAGTCTCATAATATTGGTATTAGTATATAAGTCATGTTTTCTTTTAAAAGGAAAGTCACTTTATATAATACACAGCTTGATTAAAGTTTTTTCATTAAGGGAAACTGATTCAGTATTTC